CTACACCTCTACCCCGATATAATGCGGTCCTTGGGAGCCAAAAAATCTTACAGCGTTATAGGTGAAACCGCGTTATATCGAACTTGCTTTGGCCTCAAGCACTTCCGTTATTAATAGTCACTTCCTGCCCACTGACTGACCCCTCAGAACCCCCAACACATCCAATCCCCTCCCCCCGGCTCCCTGTCCCCTGACTGCCCCGACCCCTATCCACACACCCCGCCCAACAGGCCCCCCAGGACTCCCACGCTCTATCCAACGCCCCCGTCCCCTGATCGTCCCACCCCCAGAACCTCTGAAACATCCAGTCCCCCCACTCCTTGTCCCTGATCGCCCCCCGAGACCCTCTGCCCCTTATCCAACCCCCCGGCCCGGCACCCTTAACACACCACTCAGAGCAGCATTGTTGGAGCCAGACATGCTGACGCGCTGATCCTCCGGAGTGCGCAGCCCCGCCCCCCCCAGAGCGCTGCTTTACCACGTTATATCTGAATTCGTGTTCTATCGGGGTAGAGGTGTATTAGGAAAAGACCTTATGTGGAGGGCAGATTAGCCTGCTTATGCCTATTGTGGGGTTTCTTGCACCTTTCCTCGGAAGCATCTGGTACTGACCACTGTCAGAAACAAGACATTGGATGAGAATGAGACGGACTATAGGTCTGATCCAGTTCCTGGATAGGCAATTCCTATGTTTTGGATATATGCGTGGTGCTTCTTCTATCTGAGAGTGTATATCTATATATAAAAAACTGCATTTGGATTTATAGCAATGAATGTGGGGAAGCAAGAGTTGGTTTTGCGTACTTGGCTTTTTTTTTATTATTCATTTTTATTTTTTAAAACGAAACAATAATGTTGGGGAAAAAAGAATATTCTAATGTTTGTAGGGTGATATTTTCAAAAGTGCTCAGACTTGGCTTAGCCCAGTTGACTTTAGTGAGAGTAGAGTTGGTCCAAGGCTGAGCACTTTTAAAAAATCCCACTCCTAATATATTAAATGTCTGGACAAATATGTAGAGAGGCAAGGTGGGTGAGGTAATAACTTTTATTTTGTTGGTACCTTTTCCAGACCTGAAGAATAGCTCTGTGTAACTTGAAAGCTTGTCTGTCACACCAACAGTTGGTCCAATAAAAGATATTGCCTCACCCACCTTGTGTCTCTAGTATCCTGGGAGCAGACTGGCTACAACAACACTGCATGGACAAATATGTGAAAGAGATTTGTCCAAGAACCACTAAATGATTATTCTTTAATGTTTTAAAACATTTCCAAATATTTAGTATTTGTATATGACATTTTTTCTGTTTAACTAAAAGTATGAACATGTATATTAATTTTCATAATCAGTATAATTTTAGCAGTTAATTTGCTGTTTAGATAAATTAAAAAATCAGAGGCACTAGAGGGCAGTATTTATTTTTTGTTTTCCACTCTTAAGGTTGACTGCTTCCTCAGGAGACCTTTAAGAACTGCCTCGATACCTAGTATTTCTGACAATGTTTGGGTGTAAATGTCTGATAAGAGAGATTCTTATATTACTTTTGACCTCGTAGAGCCTATAAACACCTGTATGCATACTTTACTTATGAGTAGTCCCCATAGGGACTGCTGAAGTGTGTAAAGTTAAGCATGTACGTAAGCGTTCGAAGGATTGGGATCTTTATATGGTAAACAGGTTATTAAGTTTGGCACTAAGTGCTGTACAGTGGAAAGTACCTGTGTAAACATTCACACTTTGTTGTTTTTGTACTCTTTGTGGATTAAGAACCAAAGTTATTGTAAATTGTTTTTAAAATCAGTAAACCCTTTTCTTAACAAGGACTAAATTAAAATGCAAACTAACCCATCATAATTTTAAAAATCCATTATAGGCATTACCTTACAAAGGTTCTGAACCAGTGATTTCCAATGTGTCTTATTTTTTTTTTTCTGAACTATCAAAGTGAATGACGAGGAAGAAAGTATCATTTCACCCTACCCCATTTAATAAAAATACTGAAGCAGTGCAAGGGGAATTCTAAAAACATTTTTCAAAATTCTAAAATACTCTTTTGATAGGTAAATATCTATACGTTATTTTTTGTATGCCTTGAGGAAAAATCGCCTTAGTAATCTGAGTAGTGTTAACTGGTGTGGGGGGGGGGCGAAGAAAAAGGGGGGTCATGATGCTGAAAAAGACATAGAGTTGTCTCCAAGTATGTAAAGAACAACCTCTTATCATTGATCTTCTAACTCCAGCTGCTGAACTGAGGCAGTTTAGGTAGGAGTGTAAACATGAGGTCAGACAATTGGAAGGGAAATGGATTTGGAATTAGGGTACTTGGAGGTAGGGGTGGCAGAACCGGAAGGGCAATGGAAATATTTTGTGGACTCTGTCCGTACATAAAGCTGCGGAGATGAGAATGGGATCAGGAGGGGCTGGAGTGGCTGCTGCAGTACCCAGGATTGGGTCAAGGAGCAGGTAAGAACCACTGGGATTGTCCTTCCCAGCCTGGAGCAAGTGGCCTCTGTGCTGCTGAGTCTCTAACTCTCCTTGCGCCACCTTGCGCCCTTTCCTGTCACTCTCCCCCCCCATTCACAGCTGTCTTCTGCCACTCTATTTGGAAGCCTGGAGGGTGGTAAGGAGGCTTTGGTTCATATCCTCAGAAAATGTGTGCTTGGGAAGGCAGGAGGAAGTAGCATACAGATGGTGGCAGGACATTGGCATGTCATGGAAAGAGGAACAAACAAGGATGTAGGGGACCATGGGATTTGGGATAAGGAAAAGGAGTTCAGGGAATCAAGGAAGCATATGTGTACGTGCAGGGAGATTAAGGATCTATCTACACGGCAATCAGATGGTGTGGTTTCAGTTCATGTATATGTACCAAAGCTAGCTTTGATATAACTAGCTGAGGTACCATTTGTGAAGCCACAACAGCATGTGCTGTTACCCAGTGTTCCAGGCAGGCTTGTACAACCTGTGCTGGGGTGTACACTGCTGCATCTTCAGTACCTGAGACAGCTAATAGAGGTAAAATTTCCTTTGTTAATAAAAGCTCTTCCCAGCTCCCCAAACACACCTGTATCATTACTAAGCTCTGGTGAAGGAAAGCACTGGTTTAGTCATAAGATCTGCTAAAGCAGGACTCCCCTTGTTCAGATGTCGTAAGCCAAATTAGTTTAAACTTTAAATATAACATAAACAAAAATCTGTGTTGAAGGGTTAAAGTTGAAATTCCATTGCTTATTTTAGGGATCTCTTATCAGACCTCTAGTAATTTGATGTTTTGACCTTCACATGTATTTCTGCAAATTATATTGGCAGGTAATGTTAAGTTTGAGTGGATGATGTAAATCACACGGGGAGGTAGTGATAAATATTACATGGCAGTAGGCCCCTGCTTGGATCCCTTAGTATAATAGGCTGAGAATAGAGTTTGGTGGTGGTGATCTTAAGTGGGTCCTGCTGCTCATTGCTCCAGGTGACTTTATATCTAGAGCTGGCAGTGAAACTGATTTCCAGGTCTGCAAAGAATGCTCAGTCTTTTGGAAATTTTTTCATCCCAAAACAGGATGAAAATCCAAAAATTTAAAATTTTTTACAGACCAGCTAAATGCACAATATTTTGTTTCAAAAACACAGAGACAGCCGGAATATTTCAGTGTTTCCAATATTTCAGTGTGACCAAATAGATTTATTTTGCCACTAGAATAAGCCATCGGCTCCTGGGCTCCCTGACTTTGTGCCAACCAGTCAGGTGATCTGCTGGGAGTTTGGGAGCCAGGGCTGCCAGGCTCCTGACTCCTTGGTTGCCCATTTTTTGTTGAGGGAGTTCTTTCTTTATGAATAACTCCAGTACCTGCCTCTAATATTTTGTTCACAGCTTTGTCAAAAAGCATCAGCTAAATGAAGTTAACTAGAGTTAGGTCAGTTTCACAGCTGCTATTTAATGGGGGGGGGGGATAGTCATGAAACTGACAACCATCATGTCCATTTCAGTCAGCTTTCTGAGCTCCCAAGCTCTGTGGCTTTGCAGTAACCTGGGTTTCCCAGGCCAAGGCTGGGGAGCCCAGACTTCTCAGCCAAATGGCTGCTGTGGAACTGGGGAGCCTAGATTTCCCAGAAGCCCTCAAGATAGGCTGCTGAGGTGCTGGGAAGGGTGGGTTGGCAGGTGGGTGAACTGGTAGGAAACCAGTAAAGCAAAAAGAGTATTAGAGAGAATTTTTTACTACTAAGCTTTTATCCTTTTCTTAGCATGGAATAAACTTTTAAATACTTAAGGGTTAATTACTGTGGTGTTTAGCATGGCCTCAGAAGACCTCAAATACTATTCTTCCCAAGTGTGGGAGCAGAAACAAAAACTGTGATATCTATTAGGAGATGTCACAGTCCTTGTGAATTGTGGGCCCAAACTGTGTGCCAGTTCTCTGGGGTGGTAGTGGGCAAATGTTTTGGGAGGGACAGTAGAGTAGGAGAGGATGTCTTAGCATTTTGAACTACATCTGTATTAGGGGGTAGCCGTGTTAGTCTGTATCCACAAAAACAACAAGGAGTCCAGTGGCACCTTAAAGACTAACAGCTTTATTTGAGCATAAGCTTTCAAGGGTAAAAACCCACTTCTTCAGATGCATGGAGTGAAAATTTGAAGTGAGTTTTTACCCACGTAAGCTTATGCTCAAATAAATTTGTTAGTCTTTAAGGTGCCACCGGACTCCTTGTTACATCTGTATTGTGCTGCTTTGTACATGGGGTTGTGGTCCCAGTATACCACACCCATCCTACAGCCAATTTCTGGTCCCTCAACAATCACGTAATTTTCTTGTACAGAGCCATTTAACTTGGACTTTGACGGACAAAACGTGGAACTTCCACAATGTTGGAAAACTTTGATAATATTTTTAGACTTATATTGTTCATATTTTCACATGGGTTAAGGCATAATAAAGATCTTTGCTGAAGCTCGGGGACCTACCCTTTTCTAAATTACATTTACATAAATTTATATTACTTTATTAGGTCATCCTTGGAAAATACACTTGGCTCTCATATGATGAAGTCTACATTAAAGCTACTAATTTTGGAAATGGCTTAGCAATATTGGGGCAGCAACCGAAGACTAACATTGCCATCTTCTGTGAGACTAGAGCAGAGTGGATGATCGTTGCACAGGCCTGCTTTATGTGCAATTACCAACGTAAGTACTTTTCTTCACTGACCCTATATTTTTAATATCTTTTGGTTCATGACACAATCTGAAAATTCAAATTGATCTTGATGTCACTTCATGTATTAGAAGTTTTATTATTTTTATATATTCTATAAAATAAAATATTTTAATCTCAAATGAAAAGTATCTATGATGCTAAGCTAAGTCTGTCCAATTCTGTTCTGGTGTGTAACGTTACAAATCTCTAGATGCAGAAACCTGTGTGTGTTCTATCAAACCTCAATCCCCAATTGTAGTAGAGTCTCAATAAATACATAAAAGTTAAGTAAGTATATCTTCCTCAGACCAGTTTGTGCCCTGCTTACAATCTTCAATTTTTTTTGCTGTCAAATCGGTGCAGGTTGCTGTAGTTCCTTTACAATAAAATAAATAAAAAAACATATAAGAATTAATTGAATTAAGTGAGTCAGATGTATATCTACACTTTATATGGTTTAGATTTCAGATTGGACACTTGCTATGTTTTGCATTACAAGATGACTTTTTCACTGTTATAAACTTGATTTGAAGAAGGATTTATATTTATTTTATTATATCAGACCAACAGTGTATATCAGTGTATCTGAGATTACCCAGTTTTCTTTCAACCTTATGTTATCACTTCACTGTCATGAATTGACCTGTCAAATTAAGGCCTAGTCTACCCCAGGGGGCAGGGGAGGGCGAGCTAAATTGGTTTAAGTTACGGAACTTCAGCTACGAAAATAGCATACTTGAAGTCGACATACTTAGTTACTTACCGTGGCGTCTTCGCTGCGGCAGGTCGACTATTGATACTCCCCCATCAACTCTCCTATGCGTCTCGCTCCGGTGGAGTACCGGAGTTGACGGTAGAGCGCGCGGCGGTCAATTTATCGCATCTTCACTAGATGCGATAAATTCGACCCCTGCTGGATCGATCGCTCTGGAGGTAAGTGTAGACATGCCCTAAGTTTTCTGTTTTAAGTAAAGTTAACTAGATTTAAATCACTTGCACTTTAATTAGCTACATTGTTCTGGTTAGGACTAATAATGTTAGTTGAGGAACCCGTTTTGGTTGGCCATGTAGGTCTCCTAAACCTCATTTATCTGTCTTAATTCTCTCGTCTTCCTCTTTTCTTCTCCTACTGCATTTATATTCCCGCTGATCTCTTGCATTTCCGTTCACCACTTTTCTTCAATCTGCCGAAGAAAATGGCTGTTCTTCGTCAAGTGATCACATTGGTCCAGCCATTTCTTGAGATGAATTTTTCACACACTCAAGACTAGTTAGTAAAAGCAGCATTCGAAAAATCCATCTAAGTGAAAACAAAGGAGAAACGAAATAAATAGTAAAAATGTTGATTCTGTTTGGAGATCTGTACACACTCTAGCATTTGCAGAAGGTCTGTATTTGCACCGAAACTCTACACCAGAGACCCTGAAATAGGGACCAGCTGTTTCAGAGCCAAGACAATGTCAGAAGCTGTCAGGAGTCATTGCAGCCTCCTTGCTTACATTTCACATTTAGTATAGTGGTAATATAGGCTTTATGGCACTGTATTTAAATGTTTTCTTAATTCTTTAAGGATGTCTATTAGTCACTTACGATGTCCAGCGAACAGTGGTTAGCTTCATTTGAAGGACTGTGATAACATTTGTTAGGATGCATGCATTGTTTAGGGGAAATTGTAAGTAGACTGTTTTACTTGATGTGTAGGAGGAGACTTTCTAAGTCTCTAAGGTGCCACAACTACTCCTTTTTCTTAAGGCACTATTATGAACTGAGCACCTATGTCTCCTTTTTGCCTTTTCACAATATTCCTCCACAATATTCCTGTTCTGTTGCCTATTTCACTGCAACAGATGTTATAAGGTGAGCCTCGTGAGTGAAGGTGTAATGCTGGACTCAGAATCTTTCATTTGGGAGACCTCATCCAGAAGAGATCAGATGCTGGAAGAGCCCAAGAACACACTGAGAAATCTGTGTTGGTGATTATGCATGTTTTACTGGCCCCAGCAGGATGAAATCCAGGCTCTATTGAACACACAGCAAGGTATTGCAGATTCCCTGCTGTGATGGGCTTTTCTGGACAGCTCTGGTCAGGGAGCCCCATTTTCTCTTCCTACCTGAGCTGTACATGTAACAGATACATCCAGCCTTGGCTGGTGGCTCACCTGAGTCCAACTGTTCGATTAGCAGGAAGAGGCCAGACTCGGTGTATTGGAATAAAGGGCAGTTAAGGGCCGTACAGTCTCTCCATCTGCAAGGCAAAGAAAGCATCCTAGCAAATCACCTGACCCACAAGTACTATGCTCATGATGAGTGGTCTTGGAAAGATGCGATAATCAAGTCCGTATTTCAGAAACAGAGGAACCCCCAAATAGATTTATTTTGCCACTAGACACAACGCTCTCTTCAGTTCTCTAGATTCTTGTGTCAGTATTCACCATGTCATCTCTCTCATGCTTCTAGTCCTCAGTGTTATCAGGAAGATAAAAGCAAGAAAGAACCCATGTGACTTTTTCACAGATCCACAGCTGAAATAGCAAATATAGTTCACAGACTTGTTGTCTATGAAAACAACTCCTCCCCCCCCCCACTTTGTGCCATCCCATCCCCAGTCTTGTATGTTTGGATTATCATCTCTTTGAGACAGTCCCTTCATCCCTAAATATCTGTACAGTGCCTAACGCAATGGGGTCCTGATCTTAGTTGAGATCTGTAGGCACTATTATAATAAAAATAACAATACACCTCTACCCTGATATAACGCAAGCTGACATAACACGAATTCGGATATAACCCGGTAAAGCAGCGCTCTTGGGGGCAGGGCTGCGCGCTCCAGCGGGTCAGCGTATCTGGCTTGACACACCGCTCTGAGCGGCTTGTTAAGGGTGCTCGGCCAGGGCCATGGATAAGGGGCAGAGGGTCTTGGGGGGTGGTCAGGGGACAGGGAGCAGTGGGGGTTGGATGGTTCGGAGGTTCTGGGAGTGGGGCGGTCAGGGGACGGGGGTGTTGGATAAGGCGTGAGAGTCCCAGGGGGCTGCGGTGTGGATAGGGGATGGGGCAGTCAGGGGACAGGGAGCAGGGGCGTTGGGTCGGGGGTGGGGTTCTGGGGGTGATTAAGAACGGGGGAGTCTACGGAGGGGGTGGTCAGGGGACAAGGAGCAGGGGGGCTTATATAGGGCGTGGGGTCTTGGGAGGGGTGGTTGGGGCGGGGGTCTCTGGAGGGAGTAGTCGGGACAAGGAGCAGGGCAGCGTTGGATGGGTCGGGGGTTTTGAGGGGTCAGTCAGGGTGTGGGAAGTGACTTAACGGAAATGCTCAAGGCCAAAGCAAGTTCGATATAACGCGGTTTCACCTATAACACGGTAAGATTTTTTTTTTTTTGGCTCCCAAGGACCGTGTTATATTGGGGTAGAGGCTATTAGCTAAAATTGGGCAACTGAATTGACTTATCTGATATTTTTATCAGTTTTTTTTGCTTTTAAGGTTTGAGTCTACACAGTCTAGGGAAGCAATCCTGTAATCTTTAAATATCCCTATTGTTAGATAACAATAAATATGCCTGTTAGATAATCTGCCAAGGATAGGGGTCTGCACAGGCAATTCTCAAATGAGCAGGGTTACTCACCTCTAATTGGAGACCTCAGAATATGTTACCTGTGCAGATCCATCCTCTCCCACTTCTGTGGAATCCATTATTTTCTGAATGAACACCCAAGGGAATAAGATACAGATGCACAGATCATTTATTTTATCCTTGGAAATGAAATAGATTTACAAATTTTAAGAAGTCTTAAAAAATTCTAACATAGTGAAATGTCCCAATGCATGGTGTAGAGTGGTGTGTGGAGTTATTTTATTTGGCCTAATGTTTTAAATTCTCTCATTGAGACGTGCTTCAGCTCACTGTCTGACATATTATTTAGTGTCTAAGCAGAATGTGATCTTGTGTGAACTTGGCTGACTTTTTTGTTGGCAGATGATTGTATCATGCACTGTTCACGTAGTCAGAAGAGAATGAATTATATTTTAACTAACTTTAGCAATATGGTAAATGATTCACTTATTGTGCTGCTGCTAAATTATACATATGAGTATTAGTATTTTCCCAATTTGCAGATATGGAAAGGAAGACTTATTCCTTCAGTACTGCACCATACACTTGGAATGTAAAATATGATATCTTTTATGGTACAGTATGAACAAAATATATGCTAGTGATACAAGCTTTATACTCACTGATAGTCCATAAAAACATTCTATCCATCAGCAGACTTACTCCTGTATTTTGGTGTATTTTATATATTTCATGAATGGCACAAAACTAAGATGATTTGATAATTAGAAAAATCCTACATATTCAGTTTTTTATACTTACCTTTTATTTCGAGACCTGTAAATTGTTTAAAGCTTCAAAGAAGTTGTGTGTATGTGTGAGAGTGATTTACATGACTAGTTTAAATTGGTAATGTAGAAGTTGCATTGAACTTTTCCCTCTTTCAAAATCTATTCATGTACAAAACCTCTTACCCACCCACTGGGAACAACTGAAAGACCTGAGTCAGTGTTAAGTAACACCACAAAAACATAAGGTCATGTATTACGTTTTCCCTAATAGCCTCCGAATACATTGATAATCTGAGGTTGGACGTCTCTGGGTTTTTTTTCTAGGATGGATTTGACTCCCTCACAGAAGTCTTTTTCATGAAAAATATACTTTGTCCGTTTGACACATAGTAGGGAGTGAATGAGTCTAGTCTTAATGTGTGAAATCTTGGCTACATGGAAATCAATGAAAAAAATTCCCATTGACTTCAATGGGGTGAGGATTTCACCTCATATCAGCTGACAAATTTAGTGCTTGGAAGTTTGTTTTTGTTTTCTAACTTTTCTTGGATCAGTACCAAAATCAAATATACAAATAGAAGTTAAATTTCAGACTTAATAATATTGTATATGTAATGCAGTCTCAGATGTGCCTGAGAAAGTGTTAGATACCTTTGCTGAGTAGTGATGACTTTGCAGATCAGAATTGGTGATAGTGGCAAGCAGCTGTCATAGCTCACTTTTTCTTTTTCTCCATGACGTCAGTGCACCATCTTGTAAACTATATAAACCTCTCAGCCTAGTCAGCTCTGTCACATAACTAATTTGTTTTTCACTTGTTTGCTTTGTAGGTGAATAATTATATAAATTATTATTCGAGAGATTATACTTTTCTTTCCAAGTACTTTGGAGTTTCAATACGCTAGCTGGCTCGGGGAAACTAAATTTTTGCTAAGTTGTTTGTATAACAGGGGTCACTGGACTAAGTGGAGAGAGCTCGTGGGAACTAGAGGCACTCTTCTGTCCTTTTCTCCCACCAAATTAAAGAAAACAATGTGCATGTGCATTTGCCCTGCAACAGTTCCAAACTATGATAGACTGTTTTAACAAGGAAAAAAAATAAAGGTTGATGATTAACTTTTTTGATTAAAAGAAACTGGCTGCTTTTGCCTTTTTCTTAGTATACCATAGTGAGTTGTTAGTTCCAGGAATTACATATCCACCGATAGGCTAAGACTTTTTCTTTGGTGGTATTGGGACCTAACTTTACTAAAATAAAGCTAATGCAATAATATCATTAAACTGTAACGGGTTTTTCCTCCGGTTAAAAATTTCAGCAAACTAAATCCAGATAAAAGCCCAAGTGAAATTTAAAAATATCTGATTCTGATAATGGCACAAACCTTCTGTGCTTTAACTTGTCATTGTAATAAATGATTGTGTCAAAGGTGAAAAGAATTAGTGATCTTGCAACTTGTTCCAGGAGGTGAACTGCACTAAACTTTCTTCACTACTCAGTTGGGATTCCATTTTGGAAAAGTAAAGTTAGCTTTGTTTTTAGACTTATACTGTAAATTCCTCCTCCCCCCCCTTCCCTTTAAATGGTTCTTTCTGCCCCTTTCTCCTCTTCTGTTGTGATAAATGAGAGAGGGGATAGCTCCCTTTTGGAGACTCCCAGCCAGCCAGTTGGCTATGGAATCCCTCTTGGTGGTGGTTCTCTATTTGCTTTACCTGTAAAAGCTTAATAAGCCCACAGGTAAAAGGAAAGGAGTGGGCACCTGACCAAGAGAGTCAATGGGAGGGCTAGAACTTCTTAAAATTGGGAAAAAAACTTTCCCTTTGTCTATGTGTTGTGGTTCTCCGGGAAAGAGGGGAACAGGGAGCAGTTATGCTGTGAGACGCTTAAGCCAGATGAAAAACCATCAAATCATACCTAGAGATTACTTATCTGAAACCGCACATATATAAGTAAATTAGGGAATGTCTAGAAAGATGCAGTTAGGTTTATTTCTTATTGGTTTGTGGATTCCTCTATGCTAACCCCAAATGCTTTTTGTTTTGCTTATAATCTTTAAACTGGACCTCAAGAAGGTTATTCTTGATGTTTAAATTTTGTAAGTGGGTTTTTTAAATCTAGCAAAAGCCTAAATTCCAGATTATTTTCTTTCTTTTTTTGGTTTTTAATAAAATTTACCTTTAAGAACAGGGCTGGATTTTTTGGTGTCCTAAGAGGTTTGTGCATATATTGTTAAATTAGCTAGTGGCAACAGCTGATTTCCTTTGTTTTTCTTTCTCAGTTGTTCCCCGGGAGGGGGTTGGGGGTGTGTGTGTGAAAGGGCTTGAGGGTACCCCACAGGAAGGAATTCCCAAGTGCACCTTTCTGGTTTCAAAGGATTTTTTTGCATTTGGGTGGTGGCAGCATCTACCCATCCAAGGTCAGAGAGAAACTGTAATCTTGGGAGTTTAATACAAGCCTGGAGTGGCCAGTATTAATTTTTAGAATTCTTGCGGGCCCCCACCTTCAGCACTCGAAATGCCAGAGTGGGGAATCAGCCTTGACATCTGTTCTCTTCCCACAAATTGTAATAATGAAATTTGGGTGTACAATTTTTTTAAGTATGAAGTCATTACTGAGGTTTACAGCTTTCCTAATCATGAGTTATTCTTAAAATATGGAAGGTATTTAACAGAATAGTGCAGTTTTTCTCACCATGAAATCCTGGCCCTGATGAAGTTGACTTTAGTGGGACGAGAATTAATCCATTGTATCTATAATTCTGCCTACTTAAATAGTTGTGTGAATGCAATAAACCAATGGCTCTCTGGTGTAATGTAGCCTTCACCAATAGGAAATATTTTTTTCCCCAAGTAATTCCAAGGAAAATAAGGAAGGTAGGAAAAAACAATCGTAAAGAGTATATTTTACTACATTGTTTCAAGTAGAATACTAGTGGATGCTGATTTCCAGTACAGAAAAGCTTTACTTAACCATACTCTGGTTAAAATGCTGGGCTAATAGTCCCTGGACATGGAAGTGTGCATGAGATTACTTAGTTCAGCTGTAAGCCCATTCATTTGCATGTTCTGGGTATAGAGAAACTCAAAACATTTTGGACGAAGAGGCAGATTGTTCAGTTCTTTTATAAGACCTGTGTAAAAACACTTTAGCAAGGTGTAACAGGGCGCACACTCACCACAGTGGTGCCTCCTGCTGGTTGGTTTGGGAATTAGTGCTTTAAGCGGTGCGCCTTTGCTAGTGGTGTTTTTGCTTACCATTACTCTCTGTCTCAACCGTCCTCACAGTTGGACCTATGTCACTCACGGACCGCGGCATCCGCTTCTGGACAGTGCTCTCCAGCTGTATCTGCTCTGCTGACTCTTCCCCTCTCCCCCCCATTCCCGGGGGACTGGCAGCTTCTGGTTCTATCACTCCCCTCAGTGGCTCACTGCAGTCCTCAGTCTAGCCCCTTACTCCAAGGGCAAACTGCAGTCTGGCTTAGCCATGCTCATCACTCGCAAGTTGGGGGAAAAGAAGCCCGCCTGCTACTCTGGGCCCCAACCAGGGACCCTCTAACGGCAGCCACTTACTGCCCTCCTCCAGCTCTTCTCTACTGCCTACTTCCCTTGGCCACTTCCCCGTAGCCCCAGCACCTTCTCTGCCCCGTTGTGTCAAGGCCCCAGTCTGGCAGTCGTCAGCCTAGAGCTCTCCTAGCCTCTACTGATCCTGCCCAGCCCTGTTCTGTTCTGTCTTAAATGTTTCTCTGAGAGCCAGTTCTTCTCCCTTTTCCCTCCAGGGAGAGTGTGTGCTCCTCTCTACCCTGCAGCCCTCTTATAGGGCCCAGCCTGTCCCTGATTGGCTGCTTTCAAGCCTCCACTTGACTGGCTTCCAGTAAGACCTTCCAAGATTGGCTGGGGCTCTGTGCAGCCTCTCTGGCTTGCTTTAACCCCTTCCATGCCAGAATGGGGCAGCTGCCCCACTCCACAAGGACAAAAATTGGTATATTGTCTTGCTCATACACATTCAAAATTACCCATCTTCCCCTCCCTCCTTCCTCCTCCAGGATTGGTGTTTTATGCATTCTTTTATTAGTGTTCTTCCTATCATATGAAAAAACAATTCTTCTCTGATCGTGCTGTTGGATATCCACAGATGAACCTACAGACTCCTTTTGACTTCATTGGGTCTACCACGGAGGCACAAGGGTCTGCATATGCAGATCTGATTGCAGAATTGGAATCAATGTTTGAAAAGACCAGCAGTAGGCAGTTCAGATCTGGTGATTTTAATGTAATCTACTAAACACCGCAAAAATAAAAAGGATAACTGATCCTATTTTTGTCATATAGAGGAAGCTTAGGAAATTTAAGGGAAACCGTTGTAGTTGTTGTTTTGAAGAACAAATATTTCAAATAATTACTTTATAAAGTGTCACATACTATATATTCTACAGTATGCAAATCAGGAAATAAAAAAAAATTTTTTCACTTCATTAGCAGATAACTGAATTAGACTTTCAAGATTAAACATTTATTTACTTACATAATTTATAAGTAAAAGCAATGCTGTTTATGCAAATGTTTATACTCTGTTCAGTGAGCCCTATTTCAAAGACACAAATCTGAGGTGAGTTAATTTAAATAAAATACTTGAATTTGGCATTTGGTGCACAAGAAGACTTTTACCTTTAACTACTACATACCTCTGAAAACTACAGTTATGCATATTATAATTTAACTGAATGTTGCATATAATTGAAAATCAGTGTAGGGGCTTGTTTAATAGTAATAATATCAGTATATGAATTTACTATAGCATTTGTATAATTGCAACCAGTGCTGATCCTCCCACTCCAACTCCTATTTCTTCATTACAGCTGAAATGATTTGGGGCAAACTCATACAAAGTGTGTGAATCAGGATTGTTTCCATTTAATTGTTTTCAGATGTTTAGCTATAGATAATGTGCATGGATAATAGCAATGGGAATCATTAGAAGTGCATCATATGGTAGAGCTTTTTATATGTATGTATGTGTATATATAGAGAATGGGTGGGAGAGGATAAGGGAGAGAAAAGCAGCTTGACTTCAGAGCTTCCCAGTTGCAAATTTTTTTTCATCTATACCAACCAGACACAGAAAATTTGTGTATTGGACAGACATTGTAAGTGCTATTCGTCAAAATTGTTTGAAGGGAAATCCTGAACCCATTTTTAAACTAAGAAAAGTTCAATCTTGTATTAATTACAACTTACTAATAGCTTCTGATCAAGTCACCAGTTCAAAAAGTCTAGTAATAGAATATATGATTTTTGGAACAAGAAATTAATCAATTAAAGTTAGTCCTCTTCTATGCAGGAAGATTAAGTACAATGTAAAATTTTACAAATTAAGAACAGATTCCTGAATTTAAAATGATAAAAGCTAGGAAGATTGAGGAGCAAGTCTAGAGAGGGTTACACAGGCTCGTATGATTTTTGGAATATTCAGTTACTGCTTGCTTAACTACAAATACTCATATAAGCAACATTTGTTCTTGATTTCTCTCATAAGAAACTAAAACTTGCATTCATTTCTTTTAAATGCATATAACATATTTTATCATAAGACTACATATCTTCTTGGCCGTTACCTACCTTAGCTGGCAACACAGGTTAGCAGTTTAGCTTGCCTGAGTTGGTTAATCTGAGGCCCTTTTTTTTTCCTCCTTGAAGACCTTTGAAATATCTTGAATATTTATTATAAGGATTCATCAAGTTTATTTTTCTCCCACAGTTGTTACACTGTATGCTACTTTAGGAGGCCCAGCAATAGTACATGGATTAAATGAAAGTGAGGTGACAACCATCATTACTAGTAAAGAACTGATGCAAACAAAATTGAAGGTAAGGAATATGCCTTTTCTTTGTGAATAATTCTGTTGTAGTGTATGTGATCTGGTGTTTTTGGAGACTAAAGGCTGATGTATATGGCCCAATTTATTGATTTACTTGCCTTTTGTAATGCATGTATTTAACATGTTACAGATTTATTTCTTTTTTTACCATATAAGAGAACAAGAAACATCTAAAGTAAAATGTAGGGCTTGATTTTATGCTCCTTGACTCTTGCACAGTTATCTGTACCAGTACAAAGTAAGGCATTAATCTTTTAATATGCAATGCATGGGTGGAATGTGAGCCCATACACAACCCCATTGAAACCAGAAGGGCTACTTACAGATAGCAGGAATCTGCCCACCTGTTGTATGTTACAGTGCTGAGGTGTAAAAAGCTACCAGTCTAATTTTGTTAGGGGTTTACACATACTTTATAATCCCATTACCCTTTTGCAAAGCAGTGCAGTGCAGAATCAGACTCATAAGTTATATAAGTAAGCAAGAAAACATGTTAATTTATCCATCTACTAACATCTAAAGTAGCCGAACAAGACTTAAGAAAGTGTTACCCCAGTGATTTAACTCTCTTACTAGGGTTGAGGCGTTCAGATACTAAGTTGATGGTTGCGGTAGACGAATTTGGATGGGGTAGTGCCACTACACAGGTAAAATTTGTAACCATTTTACTTGTACTGGTGCAGCTATACTGGTCCTACCAATTGAGGCTATTATGTAGACAAGGTGCAGGCATTTTTAATATCTTATTTAACCTTACTGAGCTGGGTAGCTTAAAATACCTCAGTACAAAAGAGTTTGCACCATTGGAGCTGGATTAGTGCAGAAAAATGCTCACATTTGGCTTGTGAAAACAATGCCAAAGAGAATAAAAGAGTTAGTCTTGAATCTGTCACCTTTAGCAGAAAACAGGGCAGGTGAGGTTAGATCTACTTGTATTCTGTAAAGCATTCTGAGATCATGGTTATGTATTTTCAGTATCCTGAGTGATCAGAAATTAAGCAAATAGGCAGCGCAGAATTATGCATAAAGTATATATGCAATAATAAATGTGACAAAATTTAGCGCTCCTAGTTTATTATTAATTGTTTTCCCAGCAGACAGTGGATTGTGCAGAGTGGCAGCCTTTGTTTTTGAGTCAGTGTCATTTTTGAAATGGGAGATCAGCTTAAACATTTTTATTAAAGTAGCTTAAAGGTTGAACCTGCCAAGTCTAATAGCATCCTTTTTTAATTACAAATAAGAATATGTTAAATTTAGCATGGTAGTTGGAAAAATAAGTAAATTTGATGAGAGAATTTTCCCCAGCCTAAAAATGGCCACACTTAGTGTGGCGTCAGTTTTACTCAAACAAAAGTCTGAAATGCTCTGTCATTCATTTATGGCTTCAGTTTGAAATCTTAAATAATTTAAGATCCAAAAACTAGCTAATACATATATGCAGAAATTTAACTACCTTTTTATAAATTCTAAAGTAGTATAACTAGTTACTGTATTTTTGTAACTATTTCCATAAAGAGGTTTGGATAAGATTAAAAAGAAAGGTTTCAGAGTAGCAGCTGTGTTAGTCTGTATTCGCAAAAAGAAAAGGAGTACTTGTGGCACCTTAGAGACTAGCAAATTTATTTGAGCATAAATTTGTTAGTCTCTAAGGTGCCACAAGTACTCCTTTTCTTTTTATTAAAAAGAAAGCATTTTTCATAGACTTAGTGAAAACTATTTGTGAAATAGTTAATTCCTCCCACTCAGAAATGAATCTAACCCTTAATTGTAGTATTAAGACTGATTCTTAATATATACCTAACAGTTTATTAGTCATTAGGACTGTTGGATTGGTCTTCAAATTACATTTTTCTCCAGAAGCTGAGTGCAGAATATTCAGAGTGCTCCAAGACCTTACTGACTGCAGATGGGACTTCTAATTTGCATTCCACACCTAGTAGCACATTGTGCAGCCATTAGACCCCTGAGCTGGTGCAACACATTTTTTTAAGCCAAAAATTGTGTTATTCCATTTAGAGTCAGGAATCCCTAAACTGTATTTTTAAATTTTCTTTTGGATAGTTACAAGAATTCGTACTGAACAAATAAAAACTAGAATGAATGAGTGTTAGAATTTTCTCTGACCAGCATTTTATATTTTGCCTTGTATCCTTAGAATTGTGATCCGTATTCTTAGGTGCTCTAAAACTTAGATTTTGCTTTCGGTAATAAATACTATTTGACTATTCATTTTGCTAGACTTCTATTTGCTGCAGAGCATATTTTAAATACCATACTAAACATTGCATTTCAAGAAATAATAGAGAAGACAAACTCAGTCATCCATTCTGAGCTCAGTGTTACCTTTGAATTGACAGGGTGATCCTTTTCATCAATATTTGGTGGGAGTGGCAGGTGGCCAGTATTCTGAAAATCTGACTGTCTCAACAAGAGCACACAAAAATGGAGGCACCCAAAATTAGTGGACAGTTGTGAAAATTTTGGCCTTAATTTTATGTTTAAAGAAACGCTTAAATTAGCCCTGATGTCCCAGAAATCTTGACCGTGGGAATCTGCAGTTTTCACCCAAAGAGTGACACTATTACAATTTAGTCATTTACATCAATAATATTTTAACATGTTCAGTAAAAATATTTTGTTTCTTTCCTGGCACAAACTTTTGCACTAGCTTTCTGTGCAAAATGAAACATATGTATCCATTTCCACAGGAAATTGTTTCTCAGGTTCCACTATTGCGACATATTATTACTGTGGATGGCAAACCAACAACATGGTCAGAATTCCCCAAGGGTGTCATTGTTCACACTATGGCTTCCGTGCAAGCAATGGGGGCCAAGGCAGATAATGGTATGTACTTTTAAATATTTGGATTGGAGAAACTTTTGTCCAACTAAACCTGACTGAGTCAGGAGAGGAAGATGATAGCCCTTTACTGCTGAAAATCTTGTTAAATCATTTATGTATACATTTTATATATCTTACAAAGTGCTTTTTGATGCAACTTGTTATTGAAAAGTTTTAATTTGAAAAACACACAAATCTATAAACTTTCACCTTTTTTTTTTGGCTACATGGCTTTTTCTCTTGACATGTTGGGTTTTTCAAAAAAGCAGGGTGGAAAGACTTGCATTAAAGCTGTATAGTGTATTTTATGTACAGTTTGGTAAATTTGGGTATAAATACCCACTAGAAGTAACACGTAAAATCTGTTTTAAATCAAGAGCTATTAAAACTTTGTTTAAATTATTTTTACTGTATTTTAGAAGGTTTCAAAATATATTATGCCAATTTCTTGAATTCTAATTTTAATTTCTTTAACACCTTAGAACCAGAAATCTGAATTTCCCTGACATTAAATGTTTTAATGCATCTCACTAAGTGGCAGAAAATTCTCACTTTTAGTGCTAAAAAGTTGGTTAATCTGATTATTTCAGATGTCATGCATGGAGTTCCTCTGAACTCCTCCCCTCCCAGTTCTGAGTGTTGTGTTTTATTGGGGTTACACAATCCTTTTAATCATTAGGTCATGTGAATGTTGGATGGAACTGTTAGGAGGAGGGGTGTGTGGTTAGTACATGCTGTTAATTACGTGGGAATAATATTTTGGGCAGTTTTTTTTCCCAATATTACAAGGGCTTAATTTCTCCATTTAAAGAAATGATTGTGTTCCTTTTTGATGAGCTAGCTCTATGTGCTATTAAAATGTTAAGCCCACTATCAGCAGAACTTAGTACAGCTATACTTCATGTTGAATCAGTTGAATATTGTTGTTCAAAGTACAGTAGAACCTCAGAGTTACAAACACCTTAGGAATGGAGGTTGTTCGTAACTCTGAAATGTTTAATGTTATGGTTGTTCTTTCAAAAGTTTACAACTGAACATTGACTTAATACGGCTTTGAAACTTTACTCTGCATAAGGAAAATGCTGCTTTTAACAATCTTAATTTAAATGAAACAAGAACACAAACAGTTTCCTTACCTTGTCAAATCTTTTTTTAACTTTCCCTTTGTTTTTTTTAGTAGTTTACAGTTAACACAATACTGTACTGTATTTGCTTTTTTATTTTGTGTCTGCTGCTGCCCAGTTGTGTACTTCCGGTTCTAAATGAGGTGTGTGGTTGACTGGTCAGTTCGTAACTCTGGTATTTGTAACTCTGAGGTTCGACTTTACTAAATAGAAGGCCTTATGTTTCACCTTGCTTCAATCTGTTTAATATTGCATACAAAAAACTCCATTAAAAGAATGATAACTTTGCAAAGTAAAGCTTTCAGAAGTTAGAAAATGCCATAATTAGGGTTCCTCATGCAACTTTAATTCAACCCCCTTGGTCCTATGCATTATGATATGCTCTTTAATTACATGAACACCTTTTTTTTCTTTCATTGGACCCTGTTTCATTCAGTGCCCATGATGGACAATATTCTCTGGTTGGGTAGCTATGCAATACTTCTTTTTGTACTCCTCAGTGCTCCATTCCATATTTACTGCACACCATGCAAACCCTTCTCTAAATACAGAATTATTATTTTTCTCATGGGCTTTTCTGCAGTACTCATCACTGTAATAATATTTGAGCATTTAAAAACATTAATGGCCTTTCCTTCATAACACTACTATGTGTTATGTGGTAGTATTACCCCATTTTACAAACCAGGCACTGAGGTTTTGTAGAGATTAAGACCATGATTGTCAAAAGTAATTGCTAATTTTGGGTGCCCAATTGGAGATGCTTAAGGCCTGATTTTGGTTTTTTTAGAGTGTTTAGCGTTTGTATAGCAGTTCATATGTTCAGTGCACAGCCTTGAGTAGATTACAGTTGCAGTTTTGAGTGTTCAGTATTCTTGAAAATCTTAACCTATGTGTTCCAAGTGGAGCATCCATAAAATAAAGAACACCCAATTAGTGGGCCCTTGTGAAAAGTTTTGGTTTAAGGTCCAGATTTTTAAAGGTCTGTAGGTATTGCTATGCTCAGTGTTGCAACACTTAAACAGATTTAGGAATCTAAATCTCATTTTCAAAAGGGATTTAGCCACTAGAAACCAAAATCTCAGTGACAAAGTGACTAAATCCCTTTTGAAAATGACCTTTAGGCTCCTTAATCAGTTAGGCGTTGCAATGGTGACACCTAAATATCTTTGAAAATCTGGCTTAAGTGACTTCCTAAATACATAGGAATTGTGTGACAGGGATAGAATTCAGTTCTCCAAGTTGCCGTTCAGCTGCCTGAATCACAAGAATATCCCTTTTCTCCCTGCAGTCCCTTGCATTGTTCACTATGCACCTTGCAGCCTCTACAGCAGATAAGTCAGGGTCCTGCAGAGGGCTGTCTCATTCACTACTCTGAAATCATAGAATATCAGAGTTGGAAGGGACTTCAAAAGATCATCTAGTCCAACCCGCTGCTCAAAGCAGGATCAATCCCCAGTTAAATCATCCAACCAGTTTTTGCCCCATATATGTAAATGGCCCCCGCAAGGGTTGAACTCACAACCCTGGGTTTAGCAGGCCAATGTTCAAAACACTGAGCTATCCCTCCCCCTTCTAAATCCCAGGTTCTATTCCAGGTTCTGGAAGGGAGTGATATCTACTGATTATAGACCTGTCTTTCCCTACCTACTCAGCCTCTGTTTTCCCCTTTGCTCACCCAACAGATGTTTCTGTCACACCTGCTCCTCACCACTCTGCATTCCAGTCAGGCAGTTTCCTCTTTTGCGTGTATACCAGCAGTAAGAGCATTGAGAGCATGTATCCCTCCTCTGTCCCTGTGCTAACACCACAGTGGACCTGGCTGCTAGGAGAGCAGTTGCAGGAATAGTCCTGTTCTGTGTAGATGGGATCTTCTGAGATGTTAGTTGCCAGATTCTAACAGTAGCTTAGAAATGGCACAAGTTTTTTCGTGGTGGCAGAAAAAGACATGCCCCAGACACCTGGGAGACTGCTCTGTTGTATTTCAGATTCCTGCTCCAAGATATATAGGCACTAGAGCTGCTCTACGAAATGGTTGTAAAACTTTTTTAACATGCGCAAAACAGTGTATTTTCCATTATCTCATTCTGAGAAACAGCTGAACCGTTTTTGCATAAACATTAAAAATATAGTCAACCTCCAACAGACACCTGGAATGGAACATTTGGTAATGTTATAAGCAACTGAAAATAGGGTCTTATAATGGAAAGTGACTTACTGTTACCAGCTCTGCATATAAAACAGAACCCTGTATGCAAGGGCAAAAGAATAAACAAAAGGTGATTTAGTTTGCCTAACACTAGTAAACTTACAAATATAGCAAATATAATTTTATATACAAATAAGGGCCCCAATTCTACAAACACCTATGCATGTGTTTAACTTAGTGCATTGAAGTCAATGGACTACTCAAGCAAAAAGTTAATTACAGGAAATAAATTGCAGGATTAGGGCCTACATTTCTACAGTTCGGTGTGGATTGCTTATTTCAAATGAATTACACCATCTTCACAGATGTTATAGTAGGTGAACAGAACACGGTTTTGAGAATTGACATTGGCTCAATTGTGGCTTTGCCGTGAGCCCTATGTGTAAGGTAGTGTGTTGCTATGCCCCAGGAGCGCACACAAGCAGATTGATTCAATCAGGCTCCTGGTTCCCCTCACTGGTCTGGTGGGTATATATCCTGCCCTATATCTGGTGCAGCAGACATCTCCTGGCATGCCAGTGCAGCTCTGCTGTCCAGCACGTTGAGGGTGGGAACAAAAGCTTTGTTCATTCCCCATTCTTCCCACCCATTTCCATCCAGGTGTGTGGTTGAGATGTAGTAAACTCACAGAGTCTGATTTTTACCATAGTGTAGCTACGCAGTATTCATAGATGATGCAGAGAAGTTAGGGGGCACTTCAAATTTTCTTTCTCCCTGTGAAGGTTCCTGGGATTAATTGTCACAGAAGTAGTAGTGTCTGGTTCCTTATCAGAATAATCACTATAATATGTTTTAGTATTTAAGATACTACATTTTATATGCTTTCTATACATTGTGCATAATTTTTTTTAATAAAAATTACAGTAAGCAAACAGCAGGCCAGGCCTGTACCCTCAGATATTGCAGTAATCATGTACACAAGTGGATCTACAGGACTTCCAAAAGGAGTCATGATTTCTCATAGCAACCTTATTGCTGGTATAACTGGGATGGCTGAAAGAATTCCTCATTTGGGGTATGTACCAATAGAAATTTTCATTAAAGATGGCTTGTAATTACATGCAATCATAGATTAATTATTGTATAACTAGTTATTCTATATAAAGTCTTCTACTGCACTCATTGCCACCATAGTATCTGGGCATTTTTCAGTCGTGCATTATTATTCTGACAGATATTAGTCGTGGTTTTTTCCCATGTATTTGTGTTAGGGATGGCAAGGTCAAAGAAATGGGCCTTGCACTTGGACTAGAAAGTGGTGAGGTTTGTGGTGATCCTTAGTTCCATTGGGAGTTCATTCCACAGTCTTGGACTGACCCCTGAGTAAGTTCTGTGTCCCAAAAGGATGATCTTTCCCCTTAATGTGGAGAGTTTCATTGTATCAGCAGCAAAGTTGTTGACCACAAGCAGGCATACAACTATTTTATCCACGTTTTTCAAAGGAAGTGCTGTTGATTATTTGCCCATTTACTATGTGGTAGATCTTAGCTTTAAGATAAGAGCATGACATCTCACTGAAAGATAAGTTAAAGCATTTACTAGGAATATTCTGAATAGTGACTTATTTTTATTTATTTATTTTTTTAAAGATTTTTTTTTTTAAATCCAAATGACTAGCAAAAATCCAAATAACAAGCCAGGGCAGCAGTGGCATATGAGGGTCAGAGTTTCAGTAGGGAGTGCTGCAGAGATTTTGGGCAGCATTGTGGCTCAGAGGGCAGTCTGTGGAAGCTGATGTAAGTTAGCCCCTTAGAACTGTCTAAATTACGTCTGGGACCGCTGAAGCACCGGAGCACCCCGGAATCAGGAGAGCACAAAGGTAGGGTAAAGCCCCCTTCTCTTCTTTTCCCCTCTAGCTGTCAATTCTGTGCTGCCCCTCTAGTTGGTATAGCATAGACTCTTGCCTCTGGAGAAGTCTTTGTGGTCTTAGTTATAAGTGATCACTTTTTGAATCTTTTGTTCCCTGATAAGTAAATAACATAGTTTCCTCAGTGCCCCTAAATTTAAAATGAACATTTCACAACTTTTGAAACCACACATATATGCTCAAGAATACTGAGATTGGTTTTCAGGCACACACACATTCTTTAACCTTCTCTGGTTCTTTGGAGGCTGTAAATACAGTTTGGCTTTAAATGATTGTCATGAAGACACTAAATAGTACAATATGAATGTATCTTTTAAAAACTTTTCAGGGAAAAAGACATTTATATTGGATATTTGCCTCTTGCTCATGTTCTGGAATTAAGTGCTGAACTTGTTTGTCTGTCTCATGGATGCCGTATTGGTTACTCCTCACCCCAGACATTAGCTGATCAGGTACGTAACTTGTATATGTCACAACATAACAATAAAAGATCAACTTTTGATGGATCTCTTAATAGCTGTTTAAAAATTTTTAATAGGAAAGCAATAAGAAAATCTTTATATACCAAAATATAAATGGGTATATTTTTTGTTCTATATCAATACATTAGACTAGTTTCTAAGCAATTTTTAAGGTGAAGGCTCTATAAACTGACATCACTGGTTTTCTAATTAAGTAAACTGTCACTTTTCTATTTACATATTCAAACCTTTCACAAATCCTCCATTAAACTTTATGTTCCTCCCTATTTAGTCCTCTAAAATAAAGAAAGGAAGCAAAGGAGATGTTACTATGCTTAGACCTACCCTAATGGCATCTGTACCGGTAAGTTTAATGCTTTCTTTTAAAGATATTTCGTCATTCAAATGTTACATGACGAAGAGGAGTAATATCTTGATAGTTACTGTAAATTACAAGGATGAGAAGACCTTTAGCGTTGATAGTTTACATAATGGCCTCTGTATTTAAAAAAAAGTATATAAATATTTACACAGTGGTGTGAACATTCTTACATACTAGATGACTAACACTATTTGAAAATGTGAAACCAGATGCGAAAATTACACGTTGGAATTTCAACTTTTATCACACTATTGCTAATAGTAGGTAGTATAAATATGATTTAAGTAAAATTAGCTAAATATGATCTGTAGAAGACGTTTTATTCTATTTGTCATGAGTGTGCTATACTATTGTCTCCTAATAAGAAATGTTCCTTATAGAGCAATGAGTCTGCCAGCATTATGTAAAAAGAATGTGGAAAATTGGCTTTGGCGTAAACATACGTTCATTTGTTATTTTAAAGGGAAAAAATATACAAGCTAGTTAGGCCTTTTGTGGGCAAAGAATGTAGTGGGTATGCTTTGCACCTTGAGGTATATTACTGATGAAACATTGGAAAGGTGGTATTTAGCAGTAATTAGATTACAGTTTTATACTTCTAAATTCAGATAGTGTGTAGTGCAAGACATCAAAAATCTCAAAATATTTGAGTAATACTGTACTTTGTACATTAAGATTTTTATCATTATTTTTGTTAGGTCATCCATGTTTTACCATTTAACTATAAACTGAGGACGGTGTCCTTCTGTAGGCTTTGCTAATGCTGAAGGGATAGGAAAGGGCTCGGGGTGAGGGGAGGTGTCCACACCCTTGTATAAGCAGGAGAAGTAAACTCCATAGCATTTAAGAACACTGAGAGTTAGCAAACATGCCAGCTTGCACACCATAGCCAGTGCAGCATGAGATGCTGGTTAGGAGATGTTAAGACCCCTGGCTATACAGCACTTATGCTGCAGGCAGGATGTAAATTAGGATTGCACTGTGCACCTGCTCAGACTGGGAGTGCATTTTACTGCTGCTCTGTCACCTTGGTCTGTCCTAGAGATCCTACCCCAGATACAGGTATCCTGTAAAAGTGGGAGCAATAGGCAAGGATTTGTGCCTTGAAATGTACTAGCATTTCTACGTCTCATGTTTACCTTTTAGTGCACTAAATTTAGTATTGCTATTAACTTGCTTATCTGTATTTAATCCTTTAATGTAACTAGGAAATCATGGATCGGATCTACAAAAATGTCATGAATAAAGTGAACGAAATGACCAGTTTCCAAAGGAATCTGTTTATATTGGCCTACAATTACAAAATGGAGCAGATTTCAAATGGCTACACTACGCCACTTTGTGACAGGTAGATTTTCAGTTCCACTTTTATAGGGGTCTTTTTAAATGCTCATCAAAATATTGCTATAAGTGCAATATGTGGTCTTTAGTGAAGTCATACTTTTGTTTAGTTTTAAAGCTCACTGTTTGATTGGGGCACAATACATTGACTCGCCTAAAGTCACACAATGAGTCTGTAGTTCAGTTGGGATTACTTCAGCATTTATTAATATAAATATAATAAAAGTGTTAAGTTTATTATTTTTCTTTCAGTAATTTGAAAGCTTAGATATCTTTTCCTATTCAAGTCATTGTGTTGCTCCTATTAGCTTTTAATCTGGGGTTTTGTACATACCTGGAGGGAAAAATCTATTTCTATAACCTAGCAAGGCTTTATCATATTTTGTTTTTAACATAATGTGAACCTTATCATCGTAAAACTGGTCTGTAAGTATAACCCACGCACCTTCTGGGTGTGGTGTTCTGTCCCATCTAGTGGCACCGAAACCACTTACAGAGCGATAAAAATGAGTCTGCTCTACAGCCTTAGCTAACAGCCAGTTGGCTTTTAGCTCATGCGGTAGAGGTTCATGCACTGAGGTCCCCGGTTCGGTCCCTCCCGCTGACGACCGGGGTCTGTCAGCGTTACGTAAGGTCATGGGAAGAAAATCTAAGGGAAAAAGGAGTTGAGGAGGGCTGGCAGTTTCTCAATGAGACAATATTAAAAGCACAACTGCAAACTATCCTGAAATATAGGAAGAACAGGAAGAGGCCCATATGGCTCCATGAGGAGCTCTTTAATAACTTGAAAAACAAAAAGTAACCCTACAAAAAGTAGAAATATGCACAAACTCCTAGGAAGTACAAAAGAATAGCATAAGCATATCGGAACAAAATCAGAAAGGCTAAGGCATGAAATGAGTTACACCTTGCAAGGGACATAAAAGGCAGTAAGAAGCGGTTCTTTAAAAACATTAGGAAAAAGAGAAAGATGAAAGTATAGGTCCTCTACTTAGAGGGGAAAGAGAGCCAATAACTGATGACATCAAGAAAGCTAAGATGTATAATGCCTATTTTGCTTCAGTTTTCCACTAAAAACGTTAATGGTGACCAGATACTCAACATTATTAATATTAACAACAAGGGGGAAGGAATGCAAGCCAGAAAAAGAAAAGAACAGGTTAAAGAACATTTAGATAAGTTAGAGGTATTCCAGTTGGCAGGTCTTGTTGCAATTCATTTTAGGGTACCTAAGGAACTAGCTGAAGCAATCTTTGAACTGTTAGCAATTATTTTTGAGAACTCCTCCACTCTTCTGGGACCTCCCCCATCCTTCAGAAGGGCAAATGTAGTACCTGTCTTTAAAAAGAGGAACAGAGAGGACCAGAGGAATTATAGAGCAGGCAGACTAATTTCAATACCTAGAAAGATACTGGAATCAGTTATTAAACACTCAGCTTGTAAGCACCTAATAGCCATTATGGATTTGTTAAGAACAAATCATACCAGACCTACCTAATTTCCTACTTTGACAGGGTTACTGGTCTAGTGGATATTGGGGAAGCAGTAGATGTGATATATTGCGATTTTTCATAAGGCTTCTGACACAATCCCACATGACATTCTCATAAGCACAGTAGGGAAGTGTGGTCTAAATGACTATAAAGTAGGTGCAGAACTGTTTGAAAGACCATACTTCAAGAGTAGATAAAAATGTTTCATCGTCAAATTGGGGGGACATAGCTAGTGGGGTCTTGCAGAGGTCAGTCCTGGATCCAGTACTGGTCAGTATTTTCATTAATGACTTCGATAATAGAGTGGAGAGTATGTTTATAAAATGTTCAGATGACACCAAGCTGGAAGCTTTAGAATTCAAAATGGCCTTGACAAATTGGAGAATTGGTCTGAATTCAAGATGAAATTCAGTAAAGACAAGTGCAAATTATTTTACTTAGGAAAGAAAAATCAAATGCGCAACTACAAAATGGGGAATAATTGGCTAGGTGATAGTACTTCTAAAAGGATTGGTGGTTATAGTGGTTCACAAATTGAATATGAGTCAACAATATGATGAAGGTGCAAAAAAGGTTATCATTCTGGGATGTATTAACAGGAATGATGTAAGAAAGGCACGGAAGGTCACTGTCCCACTCCACTTGGTACTGGTGAGGCTTTAGCTGAAGTACTATGTCCAGTTCTGGGCACGACTCTTTAGGAAAGAGGTGGTTAAATTGGAGAGTCCAGAGGAAAGCAACAAAAACAGTAAAAGGTTTAGAAAACTTTGCTTATGAGGAAAGGTTAAAAAAAATTGGGCGTGTTTAGTCTTGAGAAAAGAAGGCTGAAGGGGCACCTGACAACAGTTTTCAATTATGTTAAGAGCTGTTGTAAAGAGGACTGTGATCAATTGTTCTCTATGTCCGCTGAAAGTAGGACAAGAAGTAATGGGTTTAACTTGCAACAAGGGAGACATAGGTTAGATATTAGGACAAACTTTCCAACTGTAAGGGTAGTTAAGCTCTGAAATAGGCTTCCAAGTGAGGTTGTGGAATTCCCATTATTGCATATTTTAAAAAACATACTGACAAACACCTGTCAGGCATGGTCTGGGTTTACTTGGTCCTGCCACAGGGCTGAGGGCTGGACTTAATGACTTGTTGAGGTCCCTTCCAGACCTACATTTCTGTGATTATGGCCCTGCTTCTGTCAGAACTTAAGACATGGGGGGAAAAGGTAGTTACTCACAAATGCAGACAGAAAGGTAGAGTCGCATCAAGCTAATTCAAATCCTCTTGTAAACCTCAATTAAAATGAACAGCACATAAATATTTACAGACTACTGCTAATGTTTTCTGAGCCTTTTGCATACACGTGATACATGGGTAAGTCCAATTTAACTCTGCAAAAGTGTATAAATCATACAACTTATCTCCAAGCTCAAGTCAGTTGTAGGATTTAAATGATTACAGACCTTGCTGAGACTAAAAGATATAGTATAAACAGATTTCTGCACTTTGTTTTCCTTTTCAATAATGTGGGCAAAATAAACATTAGAATTTTGCTGTCTCAGTAAAGCATATTCAAGAGACTTCGACTTTATCCTGCAGAGTAAAATGCAAAAGTAAAACCTGAAAATTTTCTATCTAAACATTGTTTTTAAAAACTTTAAATTTTAAGTGTACTGTTTGTGGATCTCATCCTGCATTTTCTGCACATCTAAAAATCTTTGGAGTTAGTGGAAGTTTTTGGTGCCCATGCAAAACAAGATAATCTCCTTGGTCTTCTATTTTTAAGCAACAAAAACATCATCTTTTCTTAACTTTGCATTTTTAGCCTTATTTTCCGGAAAGTACGACTGCTGCTAGGTGGTAAAATTCGCGTCCTACTATGTGGAGGAGCTCCACTTTCTGCTGCAACTCAGAGATTTATGAACATCTGTTTCTGTTGCCCTGTGGGACAGGGATATGGACTAACTGAGTCAGCCGGGGCTGGAACAATCACTGAAGGTTAGTGTTGGCATGTCCAAATGGATGCGGTGATCTGTGTTTGTATAATCTTCAACAGAGTATTCATTTGGGCTTATGTCCACAAACTGGTAAGTGAGAAAACACTGAGAGGTGACAGGCTTTTTGAAGAGTAAATTAATTTTAGAAGGCATAATCTGGGGATTTTGTGCTAAAACATAGGAATATATAAATTGATGTTCTCATTATAGCAAACAAAGGTGAAATGGTCTGAACTGAATTTTGGAATTATTTGTGTATACTAGCTGAACTGAATAAATTTGTTCCAAGAAGCCTGCAGAATAGGTTGGCCAGCATCATGATGGGAATAATGCATTCACCAATGACCTGCAGTCTTTCTTGGGTGTACACAGGCTCCGGAATTTGATTTTCTACTTTTGGATAGAGACCATATAGTAATTAAGTTAAATATATAAGTCTAATATGTGAATGCACATTGCTGTGAATATGCAGTCACATTTTTTTCCCAAGATATCCAGTAACTCATGCAGTATTCCTGGGATTTGAATCAAGCCAATAGTATTGACTCAAATAAGAAAGAAACAGATCTACTTAAAAATATATAATATATACAGTAGATAACTCAGCTGAACCATGAATATATACTGTACTTGACAACAGGATTCTTGAAATACCTTGAGTTACAGTGAGTGCTGGTTAAAAAAGCCTTGACATATCATGCATGACGAATATAGAAAGTGTGCACTACAAAGTCTAGTTTTTTTTTTCAAAACAGCTAAAAAAATTTAAATTTCTTACTATGGATGAACTGACATTCATACAACAGTTGTGTGAAAGGCTTATTTTATAGGTTATGCTGCTTTATGTACAATATGCATGTACTTAATAAACAGGGAATACACCACATCATTGGGTGAAGACTTCATTGGTATACTATTGGAATGTCTACATTACTCATGAGTAGCAAAGACGTTTTTGAGTTGTGCTGGTCATTCCAAAAAAAATGTTTCATAAAATTTAAGGCCAGAAGGAACCATCATATCCTCTAGTCTGACCTATATATCATAGACTATTACATTTCACCGTTACCCATATATTGAGCCTGAGGCCCCAGCAGTAAATTGTTCTTTGAGTGATGGTCCCTATGTGTATTCCACTTGAGGTGCACATGTGTGACATGCACCTGAGACTGGAAGATTCTTGCTAGCAGTATCCATTTGTCCACACGTGTCTCTATCCTCCTTATACTCCAAACTGCTAATTCCTTTCTACTGCCCGTGTTCTGAGACAGAACTTCTTCAGTATCTGCAGTGTTAGCTAGCGTTCTTCAGAATTTTTAGTTTTACATAGTTTTAAAACATGTTTTTAGATGGTTTCAAATTAGCTGGAGTAGTTTAGTAGTCTTTAGGGCTTTGCCTCCCTACTCCACTGGACACCCCTTCTATGGCTGCCTAGTATGTCCAGGATCCAAGATCTGTATGTCTCGTCTGTGGGCTTTCCCAGCTGGCAACACTCATATCCCCTCTAAGTGCAACATCTGCTAGTCCTTTCCCAGATGAACTTGTCAAGCCCATGGATTGAAGGCTTAAAAGATTACAATGGGCTCATGTAATGAGGCCCCGGTCTGATTCTGGCTGTCAACCACCCCTGTACATCAGGCAGGGGCACCAAGAAGTACCCCCCTGAGCATGGTGTCTCTGAATCCGAGGATAATCTGAGCAGGGCTAACGACCCTGCCAAGCAGAGACCTGAGGAGGGTAAGAGAGAGAACTTTTTCACAAGAAATGTGAGAAATCTCACTCAAGCTCACCTTGACTTTCTCCACAACACCCTTTAAGTCGGGTGAGACTCCGTGCCCCACTATACAAGTGTCAGACGCTCACAAGGAGCATGGGACCAGTTTCAAGTCACTGAGAGGCAAGAGTACCTCAAAACCATCCTTAGCCAAAGGGATGGGACCATCCTCAGTCCTACACAGATGCTACCTATGCTGTCAGTACTGCAAGTGAGAGAGGAGTTGTTGGTACCGCCAGTGCTACAAAGGGACAGAAGCCCGGTTCATTCTCCAGTATCAGGAGTTTGATACAGTGCCCTGGAGGACATTTCAATCTAAACAGGCTAAGAATTGCCAGTACTGTTGTATCTTGCCCTGACCATCAGTTCAAAACTCACTGGTACCATCAAACAGTCGAGGTGTAAAAAGACTGCTAATATTGACAGCACTGCACATCAGTATAAAAGCCTTCTTTTCTGCTACCCAGAATTTCCCACAATTCTTGACATATGAGCTACTCTCCCACTCCGCAAGCTACAGAGGCAGATCAGAGTTTTGGAGCCACATTGTCTGGCTGTGTCCCCTCAGACCTTGCTTGCTTCCAGTTTCTCTGCCTCTGTTACAGTGTGTGGACAGCGATTTTTACAGCTCCTGCCTTCACATATGCCTAAGGGTGTGTTTTGTCAGATTTGGGGTAGTGGTGAGTAGTTATCTCCCGCCCAGCCCCTGTTTCCTCTCAGGCCAGTTTTTTAGCCAGGTGTTGGAACTGTTTGGAGCCTCAGCTGCAGTGCCTTTCTGCTGACTCCTCTGAACCATCCAAGTATTGCATTGCTGCCTAAAATGCACCAAATGGTGCTCCATCTGTGAGACTGTATTCCCAGGCTTAGTAGATGGTGAGTTGTGCCCATCCTCCACCCAGCCTTCTGTCTCTCTAACTCAGGGCTATGAGTCAGAGAGGCATGTGGAATCTCCCACCGACTGGAGTAACCACAACTCCAACATGGGAAAAATGGACCAGGGTCCATAGACCCCCCCAGTCCATTTTTCCCATGTTCCCCCCGCCCGCTTCCCAATTTGGCCAGGAGGGTTGACGCTATCATAGCATCTCTGGCTACAGATATGGTTATCCCCTCAGAAGGGGAGTTCTAGCCTAAGGACCCCATGGATAAAAAAAAAGGTGGAGGCCACTCTCAAAAAAGACTTTGAGACCTTCTCAGTCTCCTTCAGTGAATCCCTATCAGCTGCTTGCTTTGTGAGCACATCTCTCCTGACTGGAAGATCTCAGGGTCTTCAAAGATAGAGATCACCCTGACTTTGGCTCTGTTTTAAAGGACATTTCCCTGGCAACAGAGTTCATTGCTGATACCTCAATGGACACAAAGAGATTCTCAGCCAAAGTCATGGTCTCTAGGTCAGTGACCAGTTGCCACCTAAAGCTCCGTGACTGGAAGGTGGATGGCCACACACAGCAGGTTCTGTGCTCCACCAAATTCGTGGGAGCCTGGCTTTTCAGAGAGAAGCTAGTCAAGGTAGTGGTGGACAATGCTGCAAAAATCTAAACAGTCGCTCCCTCTAAATGCTACAGGATGTCTTTAAGAGCAATAAAAGCATTCCTTTTGGCCTTCATCCTTGCAGAAATGAAGAGACAGCAGATTCTCCAGAGGAAAGCTGTGAAACTGTGGCTCGGGAGGAAAGCCAAGAAGGAACCCTGCTGCTCCCAAAGCCTCTCTGTGTGATGAAGACCATCTAGGTCTTTGCCTGGAGCTGAAGCTTGGGAGCAGGCTTTATCATTTCCTGGGGGAATGGGTTGTTTCAACCATGGACTAGTGGTCAGGGAGATAGTGAGTTAGAGATGTTCCTTTGAGTTATAGGCTCCACCCCTCCCATTCTTCATCCAGTCTTCCATCTCAAATGACCCCATAAAGCATGGTCTAATCCAGAATCTGTTTTCTTACCTCCTGGATATGGAAGTAATAGAAAGTGTTCCCTTATAAGAGAGATTCTTTATTGTTCAGAAGCATACGGGGAGGGAGAAGCTGAGCCCTTCTAGATCCCAAAAGGCTCAAAAAGTGGATGAAGAAAACAAAGTTTTGGATGGAGACCCTAACTTCTAAGGTGTCATCCCTATCTGAAGGGAATTTTCTGACTTTGGTGGATCTGATGGATGCATAACTTCATATCATGATCAGACTGTGCCATCTCAGGTTCCTAAGGTTTTTGTACGTCAGGAAGCATTATCAATATTGGATGCTCCTATTTGGCTTGTCTGCGGGCTTCTTTGTCTTTACAGTGATGGTGGTGGTAATCATATTCAGACTCGGGTCACAAGGGATCCACCTATATTCCTTCTTGGATGACACTAATCAGAGCTCTTATCCACAGCAACAGCACATAGAGCTACATCCCTGACCTTGAATCTCCTTGAGGTTCATGGCTTTATTATCAATATCAAGAAAAGCTTGATTCCGTTCACCCAAATAACTCATTTGGGAATGAACATAGATTTTTGAACATATTTTTGCTGTCGAGGTGTCTGTCTTTAAGAGGTTCCAGAAAATTCAGAACCTCCTTGTGTTGCTTAGGAATTTCAAGAGGCCTGCTATTGCACTGAGCCTTCAACTGTTAGGCCTCCTAGTATTATGCATAGGGATCATTCCATGGATGCAATCAGACATCACGTGCATTCTAGCTTCATCTTAAAAGTATGGGTCCACTCCCTGGAACGCATGAAAGATTAGCTGAGGGTTCCAGCACAGGCAATCAACTCCTTAAAATGGTGGCTAGCACAGAGCAGTGTCAACTGGTTGTACATGGGGACACCATATCAAGTATGGATGACAACCCTGATCCTGCTCAGATTCCTACACTTGTCAAGACTCCAAGTAAACATAAAAAAGTCCATTTTAGCTTCCACACAAACTATAGACTTCATTGGAGCAACCCTAGATTCAATCAGAGCCAAAGCATACCTACCCCAGGACATATTCCAAGCCATAAAGGATTTCATCACTTAGCTTTGACTGAGCCCTCAGACAACAGTTAGAACCTGTCCTAACTGCCTAGGTCATGTGCCACCCTTTGGTGAGACTTCGATGTCTACAGGCTTGATTTATGGACAGTGCCAAACAAACACAGTCCAGACAAATTGATCTCCTCTTCTCCCCGCCCATCCCCTCCCCCCCTGCCCCGAGTTCTGTGTTCTCTCCCTTGGTGTGAAAAAAGGGAATATGGGACTTCGCTTTGTCCCTCCCCACCCTCAGAAAGATGAACTACAGACTCCCTCCCATCTGTGCAAATGTGTTGGATAGAGTACCTGGACCCAAGGAAAATCCGAGCTGCACATAAACCTTCTGGAGCTGCATACAGTGCACAAAGCCTGCAAGTGATTCCTACTTTTTATTCAGACCTTGCATGTTCAAGGCCTATTGGATAACATGACAACAGTTTACTATATCAGAAAACAAGGGGAAGCATGGTTCGCCCCTCTTTGCATAGAAGCAGTCAATCTCTGGAACTTCTGCATTTGCAGATCACCCTCTCAACCAGTGCACCTTCCTGGAGTGTGGATGCTTTGGCAGAGAGCCAGAGCAGACGTGATCTCTGGAGATCACAAGTGGGAACTACATGGTATGGAGCATCATTTGGCATTGGGGATTCCCATCTTGGAATTTCATTGTCTGTTCAAAGGTAGTTCAGAAAAGAAATTCAGTATTGATAAATTATTGTGAAATTTTATTTATTGTTGACTTAATCAGCAAGCACACAAGCATCCATTTACAGCTGTAGGCTCTGGTCCTGTAATGTGATTCATGAGGGTGGACTGCTGTGACTACCCAGAGCCATATTGACTTAATTTGAGGTCTTCACCTTGCTCCTCCATTGCAGGATCAATATCCTAATCAGTATGCTTGTATCTTAATTGCACATTTTGAAAGTTGTGTTGCAAGAACTAAAATTAAGAATTAATTCATTAATTAACTCAACTCTGTTCAGTTTTGATAAATAAAATTTATTTGTAATCACTACTTGCAAATTGTTAATTGAAAATTATTTTTAATTTTAGTTTGGGACTACACTACAGGGAGAGTAGGAGCACCTTTGGTTTGCTGTGAAATCAAATTAATGAACTGGGAAAAAGGTAAGAAAACTCTTATGTAATGAAACTCAAATGCACGTAAGAACCTTATGTCAGTATTTATTTATTTGGCTGCACTATGCCCAATCCTCCACAGTGTAAAGCTGTTTCCTGGGTGACACAGGATTAGTGAGCTGCAACCAAGCTCCCTTATAGAGCTTGCTCAAGCAGGATTGAGAAAAATCTACCTCAAGAAGTACCGTGCATGTGTTGCTTACTGAAGAGGAAGTGAACAAAATGTTTAAATAATTTAAATGTAGACAATAGACAATTGTTGATATTTGCCTAAATAGGTGATGGTTAGTATAATAAAGCCATGGAATTAGTCTGTTTTTGTTTCAGGAAGAACAGAAACTTCCTGTATTTCAATAATATTAGATTGGTAGATGAATATTTGTTTGTTTTTTCCTACCTTGTTGCACACAAGTTTGATTTTAAAAAAATCAGCTCCTAAGCCACTGTAAAATGTTATAAATATTTATAGATTTGCTTATTAGCACACACTGAATATTTTTAAACAGTTCTGATTTACAGCTTGTGTTTGTACAATGCCTAGCACCATGGGATACTGGTCCATTACTGGAACTCCTAGGCACTAGGATAATATAAATAATCTACTGTAGTGTTTCTTTCTTTTTGTTAGTCACATGATATATGAGCATACATCTTGTGTGTTTGTGCATGTGCATGCATGTACCCTCCTATCTAGAGAATTATTTAATGTCAACACACTGGAATGGGAGACAAAATTCTGTATGTGCCAAACCAGGGGTGTTGGATTCACTGTGGTTCAAGCTAAACTACAAGTACACATTTTCTCCTCTTGTTGTTAGAAAATTTCACAATAGGCATAGTGCAGTTTACTAGCATTAATATAATAAAGACAGAAAGAAATGGCCAGTGAAATGGAAGCCTATTAAATAGATGCCAAATCTAATGGGTCTAATTAGATGTTTGAAGTACCTCTCAGTCCTATGCCTCCCTTCACAGTTTCTTCTAATTTGGATGGCGGAGCTGCTTTATTATTTTGGAGCGCTTTTGTCTCACAACATTGAATGAAATTCACCCCTTTGATTTGGGCCAGTGTAAGGCTTATGTCTAACTTAAGTCCCCTGAATGGGACTGAGGTGATACGTATGCTTTAAGTTGGTCCTCTGCACACATAGGAATTTCACCATTAATGAACAGTGCCTACCCACCTCGCTAACTAGATGCTAAAAGTGGTTTGGAGCCACTAATACTCTAGTTAAATTATTCAGAAATTTATTGTAAAAAAAGATACTTTCAAAAATAATTATTCTAATCTAAACCTGCTCTATAAAATCTAATTTTGATGATAAACCAAACACATTAATCCATTGAAAACTGTATAGATTTGCTTGGAATAGTTTCTGTTTTGTAGTTCTTTTGTTTAACTTCAATTTTTTTAAATCAACATCATGTTTAGAAAATAATTAACTCTGTTTTTAGGTGGATATTATAATACTGATAAACCGTATCCTAGAGGTGAGATTCTTATTGGAGGCCAAAATGTGACCATGGGCTACTACAAAAACGAAGAACGAACCAAAAAAGATTTCACTGTGGATGAGACTGGACAGAGGTGGCTCCATACTGGAGACATTGGAGAGTTCCATGCAGATGGATGTCTAAAAATAATTGGTGAGTTACCTAAGGAATTTGATTAATTTACTCCTATCAATTGACACAGTTCAGGTAAATAACATACTTGAACTGCTTTATTGTGTTGTTACCTAGAATTCTCAAGTGGTGGACTACTTGGCATTTGGGCTCATGTTGTTCTGTGTATCCAAGGAATATGTTTATCCTTCAACCCTAAGCTCCAGTTAATATTTTAAACTACAATTGTTCTCCCTCTTTTAGAATATTAATATAGATTTAGCTGTGATATTGGGTGCATCAACAGAGGACTCTAATTTCCTAAATCAAGATTTATGAGCTATTTAAACTATTGTATTAAGTTCTAGAGATTTTTGTTTGTTTTGTTGTTTTTTGATGGGGGGTGGGTGGGTGGGTGAAGTTGTAATGGTATTATGCTGTCAGTAATTCTAAGGTGTGTTTCTTTGTCTTGGTATTAATTGGAGTCCTCTACAGACAATGGAAGAGGAATACACGCAGGCAACACTTTTTTAAACAAGTGCCTAAAGTTAGGCTCCTAAGGCCATATTTAGGCACCCAAATAAGTGGCAGGACTTTCAAAGTGTGAAACACCAGTGAAGTTAGTGGGAACTTCTGGGTGCTCCGTAATCTTGAAAATCAGAGCACTGATTTAAGAGTAAAATGAGGACTGTTGCTATTGACTTCATTTATTTTGTGATATGGGCCAAGTCCTAGGTCCCTTTGCAGTGGTCTTTCAGGACACTATAGCTGCAAAAGTAGCTTACTTGGCTGCCCCAGAGAGCATGTTGGGGTATGACCAGGGAAAGGGGGTTTGGCCAAAGTGCCACTGCACTTGGCAATTCGTCTGTTGCAACAGCCCCTTGGAAGCCATTACAGCTGGTGCAAGATAGAACAGCCTTCAAGTTGCTTTCACTTGTACCAAGGTCTGAATCAACTCCTTACCACATCCAGGATTGGGGGTCACTTTACTATCCTCCCCACTTGGGTCCTGTATTAATGAGACCTCAGCCAGACCTGAGAAATGAGGCCTGTATCTCTAATTATTGTGTCTTGTGCAATAGATGAACTGTTAAAATATAAATTAAAAGAATAAATAATAAAATACCACAAAACGTTGCATTCCCTGCATATGTTTCTGGTCATATGTATAGGAGCCAAGCAGCTTGAAACATACTTCTTTGAAGAGTGTCCCTTTGGGTCTCCACTTTAGGTGAATCTGCACCCCTGCGCTTGTAATTGGAGATTTTTAGTAGCAGTGCCTGGTTGGATCACACATGTGCTGTCCCTGTCCCGTGCTGCTTCTGGCGGTTACATAGTGCTGTGTGACCAACCAACCCCCCCCCACCCCAGTTCCTTCTCCACCTCTCTCAGCTTGAGATGGAGCATTTGGCAGCACCTCTGAGATTTATCTTTAGCCTATCTTAACTTTAGAATACTAGTTAATTAGGGTAGTAAACTAAACTAACTGCTATCTCTTCCCCTTTTATTCTTAAAAAAAAAAGTCTTAACGTAGGAATTTAAGTTATAGTTATTAGGATCCCCCTTGGTATAGTATAGTTACCTTTCCTCATGGGAGAAACCCTATTCTAAGCGGCATGCCCGACTCCCTGGGTTTTAAATATTGCCTCACTTGTCGGTCCTCAATCCCGGTGTCATGAGGAGAAGTCTCTGCGCCCGGCATCCGGTTAGGGATCATGGACCCCCAGGCACCGGTCCCCAATGGTGGCATCTGACAGAGGTTCTCTGCTACCCCCTCAGAGGAAGGAGCACTTTGCCAAAAAGGTGACAAAGAAAAGAACTCTGACCTCCCCTTCTTGGGAATTTGCCAAAAAGAGTTGTTCCCGACCCATCAGACCCCATCAGTACCGACCACACTGAGACCATCCATCTCTGAGGTACCGGAACTCCACTACCCTCCCTCCCTCCCCTCTACTTTGGAGTTTTCATGTTAGAGACTCTGCGGTAGAGAGGGACAGGGACCGTGCATGTGTGACCCAACCAGGCACTGCTACAAAAAATCTCCGATTACAAGCGCAGGGGCACAGATTCACCTAAAGTGGAGCACCCATGGGGACAACCATCTCAAAGACCTCAGTTACTGCAGAGTATGAGTAACCTTCTCTTTCAGCCAAATACTGTTTTTCACATAATTCTAATTATAGTCTAGTTATATTCGCTTACAGTGCTGATAGATATTGTTACATCTGATAAAGATACCATATAACTAGAAGATCTAGTTGGAATAAAATATATAGTAAACATACAAATATTTCATTGGGGAAAGGTTTCTGTGTAGTTTAAAATATGGATCACAGTTGGTAGAAGGACACATCTAATGATCTGGGCAGATTGCTTTTTGTTAATCTGTGCAGTACCAAAAACTGGAACTTTATTTATCCAATTTAAAACACACAGAAATATGTTTGTTGCTTTTATACACTAATATCTCAGAAATGGGTATAAGCAAGCCCTTGGTGTTTTCATTTTGTAAATAACGTTTATTTAATTTTTCCCTTTATCAATAGATCGTAAGAAAGACCTTGTAAAACTCCAGGCTGGAGAATACGTCTCTCTTGGCAAAGTTGAGGCTGCTTTGAAGAATCTTCCACTGGTAGATAATATTTGTGCATATGCAAGCAGGTAAGAGAGCTCATGTGTCCAAGACTTTGGGGTCAACATTTTCTAATATTTAAACTACACTGGTTGCACATAAAACTCTTTTGCTAACTTGCAAGTTTTTTGCCCATTTGAAAGAGATTTTTGTTTTGTTCTGTATTTTTTGAAGTTTTGCACTTTGCCTATGCACTCAGCTCCAGGTATAACCATATCTACGACTTGAAAAGATTAAGCGTTAGCTATCTCTTATTGATGCATAAGTACTTGTGCATGACCAAATTAATACATTTGTAGCTAAATCTGGTTCCACATATCTGCTGCAAGTAACTGAATATGTTGAGGATCTCTGCAAGAGTGAGGGGAGAACTCACCTGACCCATCCACCATTAGACATTGAGGCAGCAGTGGAAAACAGCTCTTCAGCTTCTAATGTTGTTGCAACTCACTGAGGGCTTGTCTACATGGGGTTTTAAACTGAATCAAATCCAGTTAATCTGGTTTGAAAATTCCTGTTTATGCATGATGCAACTCATCATTGCACTCTAACTCCACATTTCCTGGGAACTCTGGAATCCTCCGCAAATGGACTAGGTTTGCTCCTAATTGAATTAGTTTAGTCTTTTGTTTGTGTGCTTACAGTTGCTGTCCACCTTTTTGCATGCTTACAGTGGCTATCCCACAGTGCTTTTCAGGTCAACCGTTATGACCTGTCCATTTACTCGTGTGCCATCCTTGCCCTGGTGTTGAGTTTCCAGGATGACCCTTCCCCTCTTTAAAGGGCGGCGCAGAGCCAGATTTGGCCATTTGCTCCTATACTACAGTGTATCATTATTCTGGTGATACAAACGTGCTAGCACATGAGAAACCCCACAACATTCCTCGCACAGCTATTTGGAGCCATGCTGGGACCCTGGATCATCACTACTGGGGGAGAAGTGTCAGTTCAGAAAACTCTTGTGGCCAGCCACAGGCATAAGAACCTTTTTGTGGACATAGCAAAGCAGATGTCGGGGCGGGGGGCTTGTGACCAGGATGCCGCCAAGTGCCAGATAAGAAGCCAAAAGCTCAGGAGAAACATTGAAATGAGGGGGAAAAAGGAGACAATCTGACGGGGCACATGATCTCTCCATTTTTCATGAAGTAGACAGGATTCTACCTGATTATAGTACAACCCATCTCAGGCACTATTCTGAGAATGTTGCCTGCATTCCCCCCCACACTGAGGACGACCATCTAGACCCATCAGAAGATGAGCAGGAGGTTGCCGAAGAGGAGCTGCCCCCTGAGAGCCTGACTCAGGAGCCTGACTCTGGCCAGCTGGAAAGCCAGCTCCCGTCATGCTCTGCTACAACAGACCCTTGTTCCTGCCCTGCATCAGCTGAGCCAGAGTCCCAGACAGAAACCCATGCCAGGCCTGAAGGGTCATATCCCATAAAGGAAACTTCAGCATGTAAGTATCTATGTTTACAATTTATTATTTATTATTATTGTTGGCAGATATGAGCTAGAAACCCACATCCCGTTTGTTACAGCTTCAAAATCCAGCCAGCATAGTGCAATTGCAGTTAGTCCCTCTTTCTCCTCTGGTGCACCCCCCCTTCATAGCATATTTCAATAACAAAAGCATTCATTTGTGCAAAATTAACAGTTGATTGAGACCATGCTTGCAGGAAAAGAAATTGGGTTAGTTTTCATAGTTTATGTGAGGTATAAGTGCACATTGCCTGCCCAGTCAAGACACAAACAATACTGGACCCTTCTAAGGTACAAATGCCTGGTAAAATACATTGTAGCTGATGATCATTGAAGGACCCTGTCCTTCTCTGCACTTTCTCCATGTCCACAGGGAAGATATAGCAGACCTTAAGATTGAGAAATAGCTTGATATTTGTTTTGCATATTACAGGGAATAGTCACTCACCCATGCTTCTCAGTATAGCTTGTCAGCTCCTTCCACTCCTGCAGTGCTTTTGGGGGGGGGGGCATCCTGGTGAATAACTGAGCAGCAAGATACTGCCCTTTGTCTTTTTGAATAAGACCATTCTCTGCCTCCTAGTCAGCCACGTCAGCATAATGTTATGGAGAGTGAGGACAGCTTAAAGGCGATGTAGAGGGAATTACTATCCAGTTTGCCCCCTATAGTCCTTCCTTTACACCTCCAATGCCATAGAAGCACCTCCAGGGCACAAACAAAACTGCAAAACCAAACCTGGATCATAGCTCCAACCACATCACCCCAACAGCATGAAAGCAGATATAGTAGATTTGAAATCCAAATGTACCCAAATTCCTCTGTACATGCAGACCACTTAGCATCTCTGAGGTTCCCCCATGAATGGCAAGAGTCTCGGGGAGGTAAAGTCACATATACATACCAAAAAAAAGCTATCATGATTTGTCTGCGATATGAACAATAAGCAGTTGTTCTCCTCTGCCCCCTATTTCCACAGCCACAGCTCTGCAATAGCCAGATCATCAAGGACAGGATATGAACTGCTGACAGGCTGGTCAACCTGAAGGGGAGAAAAAAGAAGACTCAAGACAAGGTGTTTGCAGAACTCATGGCAGAGACACAGAGGAAAACCAGGCTGGCTGAGAAGTGGAGACTGTATATGAGGGAGGGAGAAAGAAGTGCAGCTGTCCCAGGAGAACGTGGCAGTGAGCAAGGACAACGTCACCGTGACCAGTGAAAGTATGGCTGTGGCCAAGAATTGCATCACCATGGTGAAGAAGAGCATGGAAAAAGGCAGAGAGATTCCGAGGCAACTCATGGATGCTATCCTAAGACAGAACGTCCTTTTGAAAACATGCTTCTGCTAGGCCAGCAGTCCCTGAAGTCCCATAATTTGGGACCTAGCCATGTTCTTCAGACCCTGGACAATTCTGGCTAGGGGACCAGCACTAACTCCTAACCTCTGCATGCCCACAGCAATGCTTCTAGCAGTTCCCATTCACCTCTCAAATCCAACCTCTAGGCACTTGGGACTCCAGTTCTTTTGCGCCCTACAATGCCTCTGAGAATTTTGAGCCAAAGTGCTCAACCTATGTGGATGAGAAGAGACAGGGGCCAGGTGTATACTTGCCTTTAACTTTCTGCATCCCTCTTCCAAATCGTTGCATTTGAAATGTTCTTACTGTTGCACTTGTGAAAGGTTTGTATTCAGTTGGTTATTTAAGAAGATTGGTTGGTTAAATGGGGTTCCAAATACAGTTTTTTCCCATTTGTTCATTTAAAGGTTTGTATTTGGTGTTTTATTGTTTTTTCATAATAAAACTATTTATACATAATACATCCATTATGAGTCAGCAATGCATTTAACACAGAAAATCCTTTAAATAAACCTGAAATAATGCATCAGCTTTTACAAAAGGATATAGGGACCATTCAACTTCAACGACCCACACACAGTACACCAGCACTCATAATGTTTGCATCTGAACACACACCGCACTGGCTACCGTGTTCAGGCATGTGACTCAAATACAAACAGTAGGCATCCCTGACAGCATTCCCCTGGTGTTTGTGTTCTGTATGGGATGCCTTGCTGGTTGCTCAAACTTCTGAGCAAGTCTCCTCTCCTCATTCTCCCATCTACCTATAAGGCTTTCCCACTTGCTCTCACAAATATTGTGTAAAACACAACATCCAATTATAATGGACCTTTGCATATCCTCCTTATGTATGAGGTGTGCACATTCTGCATAGGCTGAGCCCTGCCTCCCCTCACCTTAGTATAGCAGAACTGCACTGATTCCTTTGCAAGAGGACTTTCCATATCTGTAAAGGTCAGGTTAAGATTTGCCCCTCAATGAATTATTTGAACCCGATATGCCCTATTTTTATTCATTATGTAAATACGCAATCCAAATTATCTCATAATAAGGAAATTACATTTAAAAATGGCTAATCTGACATTATAGTTAGGTATTAATTACAACTCTAAATTTGTGTGTTTTCTTCCACTATCATATTTCTCCTTAATACTTACATGGGTCTGTTATGGCATAAGTAACCATATTCAGTAATACAAACTTCTACCTATTTAAAAAAGGGCAGAGGTCCAATTTTGTGAACTTATTCTGTGAGATTCTAGATGAACAAAAGTTAAAAATCAATATAAAATAGAAAAAAGTTTAACTTTATAATTGTTTTTAAATGACTTAATTGTTAATGCTACCAAATTCATACTAAAGTACATTTTATACTTCTCAGTTTCCAGTCTTATGTCATTGCATTTGTTGTGCCAAATCAAAAGGAACTTACAGAACTAGCTCGAAAGAAAGGATTTAAAGGAACGTGGGAAGAGATCTGCACCAGTGCTGAAATGGAAAAAGAGGTACTGAAGGTAGTAACTGAAGCTGCTAGCTCAGGTGAGCAGTCAGGTGAATTTGTATTTGCTTTGTGGAACTTAATGTATTGTAAAAGTATAAAATATAAAACAGTAGAAACAAAATAGGCATATGAATTTATAAAAGATGTTTTATTATGAGTAATTTGTGTCCAAAATAGAATCCGCCGATAATGAAGTATTTGTGTTTTCTGCAAAATTTGACTTTAACTGGAGGATGCTTTTTGTGTGTGGGAGGGGTGGGGGACATAGTCTATGTAATTCTTCTTAGAGTGCTGGTCTCTGTGTGACTTCCACACGTGGGTACATATGTGCTTCATGTGTCTGAGACTGGATATTTCTAGTAAGTAATGTCTCTTGGTCTGCACCTGCACAGTTGCTCCCCTTGTACCCCATACTGGCAGTATAAAGAGCGGTGAGGACAGATGCTTTTCCAGTTCCTTCTTACCACCATGTGGCCTAAGTCAGAATCTTGTGTGTGTGAAGCTATCTTTATCTTTCATAATCTGCATGTATAATTGTATATAGTTGTAACGTTTTTAGTATTTTATAGTCTAGTGTAGTTTAGTTTGTCCCCACCTCAGGAACTATGTCTATTCCCAGAGTTCCAGGATTTAAGAACCGTATCTCCTGCCCTCCCGCATCTTGGTCAGCAATGACCACCAGTACTACCTTTACTGTCTTGTGGAGTCTTATATCTCCACTAAGTGCAGCATCTGCTGCTCCTTCCCTCTCTGGACCTATGAGAGACGAGAGCTCCAACTGAGGAAGGACCTCATGGAGAAGGCCATGAGACACAAGTCTGATCCAGGCCAGAGGAAACCTTGTGTACCTTGGCCTCAGTCTGTGAGTAGCACCCTTCTAATAGCCATGATCAGAGGCCATTCAGACTATTCTCAATTGCAGCAGAAAAGACTCCATCAGAAAATGGTATTTAGCAAAATGGAGGCGTTTCTCTACGTGGATGCAACAGAGCCAGTTATCCTCAGAAAAAGCATCTGCTATTTTATACTACTTCCTTACCCTCAAGATGTCAGGATTGTTCATTAGCTCACTGGAGGTCCACTTAGCTGCAATCAATGTCTTCTATTCTCCAGTAGAGAGCTAATCCATTTTTAGTCACCTGACAATAGTCAGATTTCTGAAGGGTCTCACTAGGATCTTCCCTCCAGTAGCAGTGCCAACATTGCAGCGGGACCTCAGGCTTGTACCTATAGGCGCCAACTCTGTGGGTGCTCCGAGGCTGGACGACCCATGTTAAAAACAGTAGCCGGTGCTCAGCACCAGTCAGCTGATTGGCGATGCTCCCAATGAGCTAGTTGGGGGTGCCACCAAACAGCTGTTTGGTGACCCTGCCAAACAGCTGTTTGGTGACCCTGCCAAACAGCTTTTGGTGGCTCACGGAGGGGCTTGGGGGAGGGCAGCGAGTGGCAGGCAGTCAGGGGCCTCGGAGAGGGGTGCAAAGATGTGGAATGGAGGCAGGGCCTCGGGGAATGGGACAGAGTGGGGGCAGGAAGAGGTGGAGCAAGGGCAGGGCATTGGGGGAAGGAGCGGAGTGTGGGCGGGGCCTCAGAGCGCGGGTGAAGCACCCCTGGAGAAAACCAGAAGTCTGTTCCTGTGCTTGTACTGTCAATACTTACTGGGCCACCCTTTGAACCATATGCCAGATGCCTGATGTCCCATCTTTCCACGAAGGTAGTCTTTCTTCCCACCATCACAGCAGTCAGCAGGTGAGTGAACTGGGGGCACTCATGGGCGACCCACCATACACCACGTTTCATAAGGAGAAGGTTTCCCTTCACCTTCACCCAAAAATCACCCCCAAGGTAATTTCTGAGTTTTTCATGTGAAGCAGTCTCTTCGCTTGCTGGTATTCTTCACTAAAACTCATGCTTCTAATGAGGAGAGGAGATTTCATTCCCTTGATGTCAGATGGGTTCTAGAGTTCTGTGTGCAAAGAATGAAACCAATTAGGAAAATTCCTAGACTATTTGTCACTATAGCAAAGCATTCTGGGGGACCAGCTTTTCTGCTCAAGGACTCTCTAAATTGATATCTGTGTTGCTCTTTGTAATCAGTTGGCGCATCTCCCTTCCACGGACAGGCTGAGGACCCGCTGTACTAGAGCACAGGTAACATCAGTAGCATGTCTTCGAGAAGTACCTATACTGGACATTTGTAAGGCAGCAGTCTGGAGTTCCATCCATATCTCTCAAAGATAACATCTTAGTCCAGGCATCTTTTGCAGATGCAGCAGAGGTGTATTACAGACATCTATATTGACTGCATCCTTGCACCACCCTCCTCTTTGAATACAGCTTACTAGTCACCCATATGTGAGGTACACATAGGGACCAGCACTCGGTTACTCTACCTGTAACTGGAAGTTCTTCAAGATGTGTGGTCCCTATTTGTATTCCACTTCCTGTCCTCCTTCCCCTCTGCTTTTGATCCTCTCGGATTCACAGTAAGAGGATTAATTGGAGAGATGTCCATCTGCACTGCCATGTATGCCCTTGGTATGAAGAAACTGCCCATGTGTGGACTGACAAACTCTACTTGCTAGAAATCTTTGATCTCCGACATATGGAGTGTGTGTACCCATGTATGGAATATAGATAGGGACTACACATCTTGAAGAACCTCCAGTTACAGGTAAGTAACCCACATTTTTCTCCTTGTCCGTCTCAGAAACTTTAATATATAATATAGCATGTTAAGTATTGTGTAAGCTAATGAGCATTCAGTATGCAATAGGCTATTTGTTTTCATTAGCTCAGCGTTCCATTGACTTTACTTTTACATTACTTCATAACCTTAGCCTCCATGCTAAAGAGTAATAGTTAAACACTCCTCTCTGTTATGTTCCATAGAGAACAAAAAGGGTGGGAAAACAGTGAAAGGGGGAAATTACATTCTCCCTCTCTCCTCCTCCTTCAGTGTCCCTTTCCAGTGAGTTTGCTGAAGATCAACTGCACAAACAGTGTATAATTAGGGTTGGCAGGTTTGGGGAAGTATATTGTAGCAAAGGAATCAGCTACTGTACTCAACATGTTCTCCCAGCAACTTTCTAGAAATACTATGAGAAATAAACAGCAGAAAGTAGCACTATTCTGAGCCTAAATAAATTCAATTCCATGCCGCCTTCTACTTTCAGAGGGTCAGGGTTAGAAAACAGGCCTGGCAGGATAGATCTTGAGTGAGCCGTTCTGCTGTGTGTATGTGCATGCATTTGCAAAGCCAGTGAGCAGCACAAAAGCCCAAGCCCAAGCACATGGGACATATTCCATGGTAATCGAATTTAATTGTCCAGAGATCCTGTGACGCCACATGCTTTAAAGACCTCTCTGTGTGGCATCAAACTAAAATTTGAGGAGTACTTTTATCCCCATAGCACTGGCTTTTCTGTGTGAGAGCACGATTTAGCTCCTCAATCTATGTTTTAGTTAAGGAGGGGAAAAAACAACAAAAATAAACCCACATACATTTGAAATCTTTCTCTTATTTGTATTTTTTATTATTGCAGCTCATCTGGAGAAATTTGAAATACCAGTAAAAATTCGTTTGAGCCCTGATCCTTGGACCCCTGAGACTGGTCTGGTGACAGATGCCTTCAAATTAAAACGCAGAGAGCTTACATCACACTACCAGATGGACATTGATCGAATGTATGGAAAAACAAAATAATTCTTTTCCTGCGCTTCTTTGCTACAGTGAGCTCGGATCAAATAGGAAATACTTGAATCTCATGTCTCAGTACTTGAGACCAACACACAAAAACACCATTCCTCATTTTCAACTTAAACTGATAACATCAACATCTTTGACTGTCAGGATTAGTAAAATGTTAAGGCAGCAAACTTGTGTCTGTCTCCTTCTTTCCAGTATTCTCTGCTATCCTGTCAATAATTGGATTTTCCTGAGTTCTTTTGGGAAACTGTGTGATTTTTGAAGCCTCAAGTTTTTAAATATGATTTATAAATCCTGTATAATGTTCGGTTTGCAACTTTTTAAAGTTTGGATGTACAGGCGGATAACTTGGCTATGTAAGAAATGGTTATTCTGGGGGCCTTTTTTATATAAGTATTTAAATATAAAAACTTATTGATGTTGTGAAATTATGTAATCTGAAAATGCTTATAAATCAAATCACTGTTGGACGGAAGACCAGATTATTTTGTTGCTGTGCAATTGTTCTTTGTAAATTTAAGAAAGAAAAAGTCTGACATTCTGACTTATGAAATACACCTGAAATATGTGCCTGATGGTTGATCCTTAAATATTTTATTTTTTACCTGAAAAAGAAAGGTGGGCATGGCACAGCACTGTATATAAGCAGACAGCCCTGGAGAATATGTTGTTTGAGGCTTTATTAATGCAAAAGATGCTATTTAACACACCAAAAGCTACATCTGTGAATAATCTGTCTAATATTGAAATTCACTTTTAAAATATCTTCAGGCCATTTTGTACAGAAGTTATATTGTTTAAGATTTGTGAGAACTTTTAAGTGTTAAGTAAAATGAATTCAGAAAGTTTGGCGGGACTTTAACAAAATCATCTCTTTTCTCATCAGTCTTACGTACACAATTCAGGTTTTCCGTTTTGTTGCTTGTAAATCATTGATAACAGTCATGTTCAAACCTAGCTGCAGCCCAAATCTTTTGGAGGGAAATTTCTTAAAGGCCCAAAATGTCCCATTAGGTACCAGTTGGAAGTGGGCACTTAACTGCCATTTGTGCCTTTGAAAAATCTTCCCCCTAAATTAATAATTTAATGTTTTTGTTTATCATCTTTTTTTCTTTGAAGGCAGATGTCTGAAGTATTGTACGTTAAGAGTCATATTTATTTTACTTGGTTGGTTGTTTAATTGTTGCACCCAAATTCTTGATTTAGTTGATTATAAATAGTCCTGTGAAGCTTTCATTTCCAGAGTTCTGGGTGCTAGCTAGGTCTAAAGTGAGAGCCTCTAGATTGGTTTCAGATATGTATTTTATTATTAGTTTTTTAATATATTAATTTAGAGAAAATATTCTGATCAGGGTCACATGAGAACATGGAAAGGCATACATCAGTAAATTTTGTGGTGGACCAGGTATTAAAAGGGCTTTAATTTGCTGAAATTTCTTTCCTCATAGGGGATATGAAATTATAATGTAAAAAGTCAGGTCTTCATGCTTGCTTGATGCAATAGTTTGATAACAGAGCATTGGCTGTACAAAAGACTTGCAGTACCTAAAACCAACCTTTTCTGCTGTTAACATTGGTAAAGCTTTAAGTTGGGAGTTTTAGGAGAAGGTTTCACACAAACTCTGATGAAAAAATTAATTCTGAAGTATATGAAAATTGACACTCCTTGTTCAGTTGTATAGGAGACCAAAGTCAGGTAGGTTCCCTGTGCTGGTGAAAGCTGAACGTATCATACCTAGTTTCAGTCACTTAAATAATGGAAGAGTGAGCTGTATTTTTAATAGGTCTTACTGGATTGCCATGGATTTGCACTGTTGTGCAAATGGACTGGGAATTGGTCCTGCTTCGAGCAGGGGGTTGGACTAGATGACCTTCTGGGGTCCCTTCCAACCCTTATATTCTGTGATTCTATGTTGGTGCTGGAGAACTCTCTGGACCTTTTGGTGAGGTTTGGTGTATTTAGTCAAATGGAATTGTCAGAATTAAAAGGGGTTCAAAATCACATTTGTATGAGTAATGAGGCCGTTGTAATCCAGGCTATACATGATCTGAATCTTAAAGAAGTTATAAACACATGATAGATATATACAGATAAGACTAAATGTAGGTTGCATCCGATGAAGTGAGCTGTAGCTCACGAAAGCTTATGCTCAAATAAATTGGTTAGTCTCTAAGGTGCCACAAGTACTCCTTTTCTTTTTGCGAATACAGACTAACACGGCTGTTACTCTGAAACCTAAATGTAGGAAAGTAAGTGATTGAAGAATGGGAGCACATGAACTGTCAAGTTCAAAGGAAAAGTGTCGTCATGTTTTAGTTATAGAAAAATGTTTAATAAAATATAGATTTGCACTCTGTCAAATGGCATCAAGAAGCAATAAGGTTCATAAATAGAGCCTGCATTTGAAGCAATGATATACTTTGCTTAAAGTTGCAAGTAGCTTTTTTGTGATCCTAGAAAAACAAAAATAATCCAAAAAATGGCTAACGTAATATGGCCAGCATCTTAAGACCACTTGTACTCTGTAGTGTATTAATAAAATTCTAAATTTGATTAACCCAGAAGAAGAATTCTGAAAGAAATAGTATTTTAAAGTATGCTAAGTTCTTAAATGCACTTTGGATAAATCACAGAAATTAACAGATGTTTTAACATTAGTTTGGAAACAAGTCTTCACTTTCCTTCCAGCTCTGCCAGAAGGTTGAACTGTAATCTAACTCTGCATCTGTTTTTCAATCCAGTTTTCTTTTCTGATGTACTTTTAAGTTGATGTAGACAAATAGTTCCAGTTTCTGTTGAGATCAGATTGGTTTTGTAAAAGATAAAGCTTTTGTTTCCTCTAAGTGAAAATAAACCGGTAGAACAATTTTAAAGAGAAAAGGGCCTTTGAATTTTTGGGTGGGCCTAAAAAATATTTTTTGGTAAGTATTATTATCCTGTCTCAAAGATGGGGGAACAAATGGCCTGATCCTCTGAGGTTCTGAATATCTGCAACTCCTGTTGAAGTCACTTGTTGTGGGTACTCAGATCTTCTCTGGAGCAGGCTCTAAGGCAGAAAAGTTACACTAAATGACCAGGGCCACAAAAGAAGCCCGTGTCATAACTGACATTAAAATGCACGTGTCCCTTGTGATTGTAGTCCATCGAGCAATGATATCTCTTGCGTGCTTGAGCTGCCACCATCCTTTCATCTTGTGATCATGGGCCATGCTAGCTGCTTAGCAGAGGAACAATTCAATTAGGAGGCGGTTCATGGGAACCCTAATGGTAGCAGTCAACATGATGCCAGACTCCAATTATGAACTGGTCTGGGGGGCTTTTTTCTCAGCCCTCAAAAGTGAAAGAAATCTAGCAACCTGATGGAATAGATTTAGCCTCCACATTTTCAAGGTTCTCATAATAAGAACATGGGGTGGGAACTGCCGCTGAGAGTCTATTCTGGCCCTAAAAGTTGGCCTTTGAAAAGAAGCATCTTGACAAGAAGCAATTTAAAATTCCTAAAATTCTGAATCTGTGGGATAGTAGTGATCATTAGCTACTTATCCCCATGTGGAAATGTGCATAGCTATGAATTTTGAATTGCAGTATAAAAGAGGACTAACTGACCTAGTAAGAACCAGGACTGAAGATGAATAGTTGGCACACATCTTCTGGTGTTGGTTTTTGAAATGTTTCAAGACTTTAGACTGACACTTCAATCTAGATGTCACAAGTGTTCTTTACAGGGAATAAACAAAGCTTGTTTGGATGTGGTTAGGAAATTAAAAATTAGAGGTCAGAAAAGACCTGGCAAGTTTACTGATGCTGTTACTATTGCAGTTTACAGAAAAATTGACTGTACCTCAAGGGGAAGCTGTGTCTTCTCAGCAGTAAAACATTTTGCTGAAGTTGAAGTTCAAAGCGGTGTGCAATTGAAACTAAAAATATAGCACATAGATATGTGCTAACAAGTTTATAAATAGGATGAAGAGAAATGTACGGAATTGAAACCCTACATAAAAACATTCTGCAAAGCTTGTAAATTTAGGCAGAAACTGCCACAGGGGATAAGAGTCCATGGAAGTAAACTTTTATATGTATGCTGCTGAAATTGGCAAGCTTTTCTTCTGTATTAGAACTCCACTTAGACCTTGTGTTGCAGCATTTTTTTTTTTTTAATAAATGTGGTGTATTCATTCGTTTGAGCTTGTAAGACAATTGTATACATCTGTGTCTTCCATACTGGTTAAGAGGAGGGGTCTCCTTTTAAGTTTGAACACATTAGACCAGTCTGAAAATGTAATTGAATGACCAGTTGTATAATACTATAATTGGTTATTTAATGCAAACTCATTTTCAATGTAATCTTGGTTTGGTTGTTAATGTGAACTGCCTGAAAAAGTGTATATCATAACTGATTTATATTGTATGAATTATTTATTTGTAATTGGACATTAAGTTTAAAAAATAAAGGAAGATAAAATTGAGTTTCACAAATTAAGCCTCGCACTTCCTGTTCTTCACCTTTTCAGGGTGTTGTTTTTTCCCCCCACAAAAAATCATTCTGGACCAGAACCATAGCTGGTGTAAATTAGGGTCCCTCCATTAACTTGGTGGAACAGTATACTTGTCCATCAGCTGAGGACACATCTAACCCTTCACATATAAACTATGTTCCTGCCGCTTTTAAAAATGGTAATGAATTAAGACCATTGAGAATGTTGCTATTTTCAAAGGGGACATACTCTGAATTTTTCTCCTTTTGTTGGAAACCTTTTTGCACAAGTGTGTGACATACTATAACATTCCTGTCTTCCTCTAATACTTTTTCCTTTTCCCTCTTACATTTTTACTGTCTATTACATTCAGACCATGCAAACTTATTTTTATAACAATACTTGTGTTGTTGTGTGATGCTGACATTTAGTATTATAACACTCTGCTTGGCAATTTCTAAATGATACGTAAATATTTTTATTTCTTGTATTTCAACCTTGGTTGCAATGATTAATTTTACCTCTTTTAGACCATAGTATGGTACCCATTGTGTTGGAGGGCTGGAGTGTCGTAAATGAATGCAATTATCTGGAAATCAGTTGCAAAGATTTGAGTCAATCTCAGATACTGTCACATTTATATTGATTACATGGCAAAGGTTCAGGCTGAGGGCCGGAGTGTCAACCATGTGAACTGTCTAGTTTTAAACTTGGGGGTGAGTCTACTAGCCCTATATTTCTGCATTAATCACAGTAGTATCTTGTTGCTGTAAAGCAGTAGTTCTATTATTCTTCATATTGAAATGCACCCACTCTCACAGTAGGTTTTTAGTCTCCATGGACCTGGTGGGACAGAATGATCTCTGGCTGAATGCTAAGCCCTTCCTGATGAACAGACAGCCCGTTTATTTTGCCTTCATCCATGTGTGAGATGCCAGACTCCTCCTGGTACACACTTGTATTCAAAACCTTCAAATATATTTCTAAAGCTGGAAACTTTTAGTTTCAAGTAATTCTAGATAATTTGACTTTAATTTTCCTAAGGCCCTGCAGCAGCAAAACTCTCTGCAGGATGCTCTTTGAATGCTAAATTCAATAAATAGAAGTGAAGGACTGTAAATTACTGTAGAAGCTAATCTAACTCTGGGTACTAAGAAAGGATAAAGTATTAAGTAACCCTATGGAAAGCTTAATTTTCATAGGGGTGTTATATTAAGGAAACTGCCAGGAGACGGACAAACGCGTGTAGAAAAATGGATACAAGAATAATGGATGAGTCGAGCACATACAACTGGAAGTCTACTTTCCAGTGATCTAGATTTAGCCTCCACATTAGCTAACAAAAGGTAAGGGGTAAAACACAAATGGCTTAAAATAATAAACCAGAAATGGAAAAAAATTGGAAAAATATTGCAGATTTATTAGGATAAATAAAGGAATTCTGACAACCTGTGGTAGGGGGATGTGTGTGTGTGTGTGTATATATATATATATAATGAGAGAGGAAATGCAATTACTAAAACTACATAGTAATAGACTGCGAACAATACCAGGGTACATCTATGCAATTGTCTGTGAAGCATCTCAGGCTATGTCCACGCTGCATTTAAAAACCCACAGCAATGAGTCTCAGAGACCAGCTCTACAGTCTTGGGCTTGTGCGGCAGTGCTAAAAATAGCTCTGTAGCCATTTGGTCTCAGGGTGTCTCTGGGGCTTGGAAGCCCAGGGAGGAGGATGGGCTTCAGAGCCTGAACTCCAGCCCAAACTTCAGTGTCTACACAGCTGGTTTTAGCACTGTAGCACAAGCCTGAATCTGTAGACCTGGGCTCAGAGACTCACTGCCGCAGGCTTTAAAACTCTGTAGACCTATCCTTAGGTACATTTACTCAGCAGCTGGAGTTGTGCTTTCCAGCGTGGGCAGGGAGCCGTGCTGGCTTTGCTCAAGTTACATGGTAAAAATCACTGTGTAGCTGGAGGTAGTACTGGTGGCAGCTTGGGCTAGCCGCCTGAGTACAAACCCACCTAGACCCCTTAAGTACGTACTCAGGCGGCTAAGGCCAAGCCGACACCTGTGTTGCCCCTGGTTTCACTGCTTCTTTTTAGTGTGTCTGTCTACCACAGCTGGCAAGCACCTTCCCAGATGCAGTGTGAACATAGCTTTCCTATGCTTACGTGAATCCAGACTTAACACAGTTAATTAGCTCTTTTGAAAGCCTTCGGCACCTTCAGTGTATAACTGGTTGAAATGCAATGTACTGGCTCTTTCAGGCCAGAGGGTGGAATCTTAGGGTATGTCTACATTGCAATTAAAAACCCGCGGCTGGCCTTTGTCAGCTGGCTTGGGCTACGGGACTGTTTAATTTCAGTGCAGATGTTTGGGCTTGGGCTGGAGCCAGGACAAGTGGGAAAAGGAACTCAGCCAACCATGGCAAGTTCTGGGAAGGGGAGGGCAGCATATCAAGTGCTTTCTTTCCCTGTACTTGGCAAGTCCCTAGCAGGAGAAGGACTTCTTGCCTGCCTGCTGACCTCTTCTAGTACTGAGTTTGGACCTTTCCTCTTGAGCTATCTTCCAAGTTGTGCAGGAAGACTGGAAACTGCATCCCAGCAGAGACTCTGTGGTGGAAAGAACTTTGGCGTGAAGGTTTTTCTTTGAGGTTTGTTTATATAAAAGCCTTTGTTGCCTGTTTGAGTACAGTCCGTGAGGGTGATTTAAAGGGCCAGCTGGGAGAAACCAACTCAGGGCCACAGCCTGCTATGCTGGTTAGTGTGCTATAAACCCCTCAGTTGCAGATCAGTCTGGTTATGTCACACATACAATTATATCACAGCATATTGATTCTAGGTAATAGTTTTGCAGATTTTTCTGCTTTATAATCAACGCTTGGGACTCCTCCTATATATACATCATATCTGAGTACAGAAAAACTACTCTTAAGCCTAATTGGTGAATCTAAGGGAGCCTGTCATATGCACAGCAGAAAAGAGACTTTTTTTCTAGAGTATCCTACAATTAATAAGTGCATTTTTCTTTAAACCAACAAAATAGTTAAAATGAAATATAAGCTCCAGCACCATTATGTGGACTGAAACAAGCCAATCTAAAAAGAAGAGATCAGAGTGGTAAGAACAGCTTTCTAATAATCCAAGATTATCAACACTGTACTGATACTGTGATGGTGTCTCACGTCAATGTTAATGTACTAGGATTCAGCAAACAAGCACATGTATACAAGGTCAGGACAATGCAGGGACCTCAAACACAGTTACAAGTGGGATAGACAGGACTGTGCATGACCATTGCAGGCTCTTGTAACTTTGATTTGCATGGTTCATGATTTTCACTGTGAAGCAATGAGATTCTTTTCCCCAAGAATCAGGCAGCACAGACAATACTAAACAGGCTTATTCACGGCACCGGGAAGACTGATAAACAGCTTCAAAAGTATGGTGTTACAGTGACCCATTATATACTTTTTCTTACCAATCCATTTGCCTTTATCTTGTACTTTGTTTCAGAGAGCGAGTGAGAGAGAGAGAGAGAGAACACTTAACATGGTAATGACAGGAGCAGAACATACGCATAGAAACCATTCTGATTACATCAATTATCTATGACTACCCTTAAGGTGAAGTGGTGGGGTGGGGGTGAATGTTCACATATATCCGGAGAGCTGTGGAGGGTTTGTACTGCTCTTCCTTACTGAGAGGCCGAGTTACTGGGCGGACATCTGACCATTTAAGTTATCAAGTGTTTACAGCTGCCATTGTCCTTGGGCCTCTGGTATTCCTACTTGTTAGTTATGTAGGTTTCTGCCTCAGCTGCTAACTGAATTTTTAAATTCAGGGGAAAGCTAATGAACATTTTGTATGTCTGTATACTAATGCAAGAAGTATGGGGAATCAACAGGAAGAGAAAGAACTAGAAATACTAGTGAATAATCACAATTATGACATAATTGGCATTGCCGAACTTGGTGGGATAATTCACATAGTTGGAATATTGGTATAGAAGGGTACAGCTTGTTCAGGAAATACAGGCAAGGAAACAAGGGAGGAGGTGTTGCCTTGTGTGTCAAAGACGTATATAGTTGAACTGAGATGGAGATAGAAGCGGGAGGCAGACCTGTTGAAAGTCTCTGGATAAGGATAAAAGGGGTAAAAAACAAGAGTGATGTAGCAGTAGGGGTTTACTATAGACCACCTAATCAGGAAAAAGAGGTGAATGAGGTTTTTGTAAAACAACTAACAAAATCGTCCAAAGCACAGGACTTGGTGGTGATGAGGTACCCGAGGGTCGGTCCTGGGGCCGGTTTTGTTCAATATCTTCATAAATGATCTGGAGGATGGTGTGGATTGCACTCTCAGCAAATTTGCGGATGATACTAAACTGGGAGGAGTGGTAGATACGCTGGAGGGGAGGGATAGGATACAGAAAGACCTAGACAAATTGGAGGATTGGACCAAAAGAAATCTGATGAGGTTCAATAAGGATAAGTGCAGGGTCCTGCACTTAGTACCGAAGAACCCAATGCACAGCTACAGACTAGGGACCGAATGGCTAGGCAGCAGTTCTGCGGAAAAGGACCTAGGGGTGACATTGGACGAGAAGCTGGATATGAGTCAGCAGTGTGCCCTTGTTGCCAAGAAGGCCAATGGCATTTTGGGATGTATAAGTAGGGGCATAGCGAGCAGATCGAGGGACGTGATCGTTCCCCTCTATTCGACATTGGTGAGGCCTCATCTGGAGTACTGTGTCCAGTTTTGGGCCCCACACTTCAAGAAGAATGTGGATAAATTGGAGAGAGTCCAGCGAAGGGCAACAAAAATGATTAGGGGTCTGGAACACATGAGTTATGAGGAGAGGCTGAGGGAGCTGGGATTGTTTAGCCTGCAGAAGAGAAGAATGAGGGGGGATTTGATAGCTGCTTTCAACTACCTGAAAGGGGGTTCCAAAGAGGATGGCTCTAGACTGTTCTCAATGGTAGCAGATGACAGAACGAGGAG